TTGGGGTTGGCCGCTGCATGAATGAATGAGCCTGAGAATGGGTCATTCACAACAGACGGTGTGTACTACGGATTCCAATTTTAAAAAACTGACAACGTAAACAAACACACGTGTCTGGATAACGTCACACACACGAGGCCTAAATTTTCAATACACAGCGAATATATATATATATATATATATATATATATATATATATATATATATATATATATATATATATATATATATATATATATATATATATATATATATATGTCGTACCTAATAGCCAGAATGCACTTCTCAGCCTACTATTCAAGGCCCGATTTGCCTAATAAGCCAAGTTTTCATGAATTAATGTTTTTTTCGTCTACCTAACCTACCTAACCTAACCTAACCTAGCTTTTTTGGCTACCTAACCTAACCTTACCTATAAATATAGGTTAGGTTAGGTTAGGTAGGGTTGGTTAGGTTCGGTCATATATCTGCGTTAATTTTAACTCCAATAAAAAAAAATTGACCTCATACATAGAGAAAAGGGTTGCTTCATTTCATAAGAAAAAAATTATAGTAAATATATTAATTCAGGAAAACTTGGCTTATTAGGCAAATCGGGCCTTGAATAGTAGGCTAAGAAGTGAGTTCTGGCTACTAGGTACGACATATATATATATATATATATATATATATATATATATATATATATATATATATATATATATATATATATATATATATATGTCGTACCTAGTTGCCAGAACGCACTTCTCAGCCTACTACACAAGGCCCGATTTGCCTAATAAGCCAAGTTTTCATGAATTATTTGTTTTTCGACTACCTAACCTACCTAACCTTACCTAACCTAACTTTTTCGGCTACCTAACTTAACCTAACCTATAAAGATAGGTTAGGTTAGGTTAGGTAGGGTTGGTTAGGTTCGGTCATATATCTACGTTAATTTTAACTCCAATAAAAAAAAATTGACCTCATATAGAATGAAATGGGTAGCTTTATCATTTCATAAGAAAAAATTTAGAGAAAATATATTACTTCAAGAAAACTTGGCTTATTAGGCAAATCGGGCCATGCATAGTAGGCTGAGAAGTGCGTTCTGGCTACTAGGTACGACATATATATATATATATATATATATATATATATATATATATATATATATATATATATATATATATATATATAAAGGTAGAATTACGACCCTACTCAGGATGTAACACCTCAAAGACCTGACTAATTCCTCGGTACCTACCTATTTAATACTAGGTGAACAGCGGCATTATGTGAAAGGAAACGTGGCCAACCATTTCAGTCTCGCCCCAGGATTCGACCCCGAAATTCTTGATTGTGAGTCGGGAACGAACCCGACTGTACTACCGGGTACAGTCAATTACAGATGTCAAATACATTTGAAAATTTAGTAATAATTTAAAAAAAAATTAAATATTTTTATTCATGTTGCAGATGCCAATTAATTACATAAGGGGGATGAGAAGTGAAGGGGATTATCAGGAGAAAGCGCCACGCTATTACGTCTATATAGCACTGGGAAGGGATCAGGATAAGGATTTGGGATGGGGCGGAGAGAAGGAATGGTGCTCAATCACTTTTGGACGGTCGGGGGATTGAACGTGAAGCTAAATGTAAATACTAGCAAATAATATACTAATCACAATAATAAGACGTTGGGGGAAAGATAACATATCTTATATGTTATCGAAAGATAACATTTGGATAGTTATTTAAGGCCTCCAAGAGACCTCACGATACGCGTCTACCACTTAAGATAAATGCATAAGCAGACGATGAGTCACAATAACGTGGCTGAAGTATGTTGACCAGACCACACACTAGAAGATGAAGGGACGACGGCGTTTCGGTCCGTCCTGGACCATTCTCAAGTCGATTGTGAGAATGGATCCAGGACGGACCGAAACGTCGTCGTCCCTTCACCTTCTAGTGTGTGATCTGGTCAACAAGAAATGCATAAAACTGTCATTGGTGTGGTGATAAGCCTAAGGCCTATCAACCTCAGGAGGGTTAGTCGGCCTACCACAACAACTTACTGACCAGGAAACAAGTAACTAAGTAACGTGTACAAGTTCGTAATTGCGTAATTGCGCAAGTAATTGCGTTCCAGTGGCTTAAGGCTTGTATGTACTAAGCTCTAGGACTTAAAGCCAAGTTCTTTGTTCCAGGACTTAATGTTATGTTCCTTCCAGGACTTAAAATTTAATTATTATTATTTCCAGTCAACTTAAACTTAAGTTCCAAGTTCCAGGATTAAACTGTCGGTATAAATATTCCAAGTTTGCACGAAACGCTATGTGTACTAGTGGCTTTAGGTACTGTATATACTATCTTTATCTTTAAATCCATCATTATGTATGTAACTCAATGGATGTACCTTTACCTGAATAAAAAATCTAAATCTAAATCTAAGTAAGGTACACCTGTCAGTGTGATGTGAGAGACACCTGGTGTGTATATGTCATTATCCAGTGGCTTAATAAATCACGTTTTTTATAATGTATATAAATGTCACAGCGTTTATATAATATATGTACATGCCACATATAGCTCTGACAAAATTTTGATAGCAATCATACTCTTAATAAATTTAAAGTTAGGTTTCTAATGAAGAAATTAAATATAATGTTTATAGAATTTGGAATTTGTTTCAAATAAGAAGAAAAATATACATTTTGTTTTCCAGGATTTACCAAGAAATGAACGGGCCATTAGAGCTCCCAATGACAACAATGGCTCATATTGTACACTGTGTAGGCGATCTGAGTCACAAAGCCTTCACTACCATGTATTAGAAGATGACGAAAACGTCTACTTAGGGGTGTGAGAGAGCATTGGCCAGGGATGCTAAATACCACCTTGGTGTATACTAGGAAACCGTGCTCTATATTTACTATGAAATATATATGATATGCTATATATATGTGTGTGTGTGTGTGTGACAGTGTGAGACATTGTACATTCTTCATCACGTGTTAATTTTCGTGATTTACATTCACACACACACACACATTCTCTGGTTGATTATATGGAAGGGCTTGGACATAGTGAGATGCTAATAAGAGCCACAAGAGGACTCTAAATACTAGACTAAGCCACAGCGATATTAGAGGATATATTTGTGTGAAAACAGGAGACATACGGAATGAACTACAACACACAGAGAATGAGGCAGACTTTGGTCAGTTTTAATTGAACATATGACGGAATCTTAGTTATTAGAGATTGATTGCAAGAGCTGAAGCTAGGCCCCAGTAGGTAAGCATTGCTAGGTATGTATATCATATGCATCCCTCATGGGAGCAGAGTACAAAATGAGGAAGGGAAGGGAACTATCAGCATAAAGCACCAATCCATTACGAATATTATAGCGCTTGGTATAAAAATGAGGAGATTTAATTGATTTTTGTTGTGAGTAAATTTGTAGGCGTTTTGGGATTCATGAGTATTTGGTCTCAGTAGGTAAGATGTGTGTTGAAGATCGTACGTTTGCTGGTGAGGCAAAACCACTTTAAATCGGACGTTCGTCAAATCGTAATTGCAGACTGCAGATGTGTATCCTGGGGTCACAATGAAAGGGTCATTGAACTTGTAATTAGGGTAATATTTTGGAGTAGGGAAATAGGAACCTTTCAGTATGCCTGTTACCCTACCCTAACCGTCTACCGTAACGTGATTATTACCCTAACCAAGCACTCCCTCCAGCGTTCCTATTACCCTACTCCAACACCCCCCTCCCAGGCTTACCTATTACCCTACATCAACACGGTTTCCTAAATTCCCTTTCCCTCCTCCTCCTCGTCCTGTACATCTTGAAACTCTCCCTTGTAACGAGCGAGGCCAGTCCGCTAGGAGGTGTCTCCTCCGGTAATTTCAACAGCACAGTAGGTAACTATCCACCGGCACGTCCCGGGGGTCTTCCCCATCCCCGCCCATCTTCCCCAGGTTCGACACCTACAACATTTACAATGTTTTCTTCCAAACGCTTTTAAAAACAAATCTTGCATTCAGTCGGGAATATGGTGCATTATTAAGGCCAAAGCAATGTTGAGAAGGTGACACACACACACACACACACACACACACACACACACACACACACACACACACACACACACACACATTTCACACATACACACACACACACACACACATACACACACACACACACACACACACACACACACACACACACACACACACACACACACACACACACACACACACACACACACACACACACACACACACACACACACACACACACACACACACACACACTGAATTTTCTTACACAAAAACCATCTCGCTCACCTTTTAACCGTCTGGAAGTGGTGAACCCCCCTATCCTCCTCCCCCACACCTCCCCCCCCCGCCGCTGGCACAGGCTTGTCATACGTGTATACGGTACTTCGTAGGTCATCTTGGGCTGTCCTGGTGACCGAGCTTGTGGATCTGCTACGCCAAAATGTCAATTTCTTGACATTTTGATCCTCTAGCTTTTTAGCCTCGAATACCTCACCTCCCGTTATCTCTACTTCTCTATATAGCTGTGTAACTCTAATTTATTGGGGTTTTCTCTTCTTTCGCCCTCTATCTCTCTCTCTGCTCGTTATTGGTTGTTCGTTTATCTGCGTTTGTTACCTTATTTTCTTTGTTGAATGTGATATCAGCCTCTCAGGCTCCTTGCTGTGTGTGTGTGTGTGTGTGTGTGTGTGTGTGTGTGTGTGTGTGTGTGTGTGTGTGTGTGTGTGTGTGTGTGTGTTTACTCACCTAATTGTGCTTGCGGGGGTTGAGCTCTGGCTCTTTGGTCCCGCCTCTCAACCGTCAATCAACAGGTGTACAGGTTCCTTGAGCCTATTTAGAACCTGTGAAACCTGCTTTCTCTGTGTGTGTGTGTGTGTGTGTGTGTGTGTGTGTGTGTGTGTGTGTGTGTGTGTGTGTGTGTGCGTGCGTGCGTGTGTGTGTCTCACCTGCCAGTCCACTGAGGCCGCCCAGTCCGCCAAGCGCCGCCAAGTTGGGGTCAGGAGCAGGCGTTGGGTCAGCTGCTGCAGAGCTCCTTCTCAGCACCCAAGGTGTAGGGCCGCCCGTTACCAGTAACGCCACCCAACACGCCCACCACCCTCTCCTCACGCCCATGACTCAGGTGGGGGGGAGGGGGTCTCGCGAGAGACCTACCTCGAATCAGGATTATAATAAATCACTTCTATAATGCCCTAATCGGGCACCACTACACACGTCTCTTAAATCCGGATGCCAACATTTATTAATTCTCATCAAAGTTCGATTTATTTAAACTAAAAATCAACTAAGCACAATATTGGTTATAATATGTAACTTCTCATTATTTCCACAAGGATTATAAATCCTCTAAGAACACTGGGATTTGTTGTATGTGTTATTTCTATTTTTTTTGGTAACACTTTTATCCTCTCGCTTTCACAAGACACTCCTGCTAGTGCTTGAGAGCAGGTGTGGCACCCACCACTTACTCCTCTGATGGTCCGAAGCCAACTGGGGACCGGTTTGACTTCGAGCCCTGAGCAGACGTTAGCAAGTCAAGCTTAAAGAAAACGGCTTGTGAGTATGTTCGTTGAAGGAGGTGTTAAACTATATTTCGCTGAAGTGCCACTCGCATCATTTCAAGTTAGCTGTTTATCTACATATATCTTTATAATCTTTGTATGGGGTATATTTTTATTTATGGTTGTTTATTTTTGGGCGGTATTGGATTAGATTTCACATAGCCTTGGTGTCAGTCGTTGCACCACGGGCTATACAATTCCGAGGACGCGCTTCTAAATAGGCAAGGACGAGGGCCTTCCTCTCTCTCTCTCTCTCTCTAGGACGTCAAGAGAGAACACACCCTAGCCATCACTACCACAACACAGGCAGTGATGTGGTGGAGGCTGACTCCATACACAGTTTCAAATGTAGATATGATAGAGCCCAGTAGGCTCAGGAATCTGTACACCAGTTGACTGACAGTTGAGAGGCGGGACCAAAGAGCCAGAGCTCAACCCCCGCAAGCACAATTAGGTGAGTACCGAAGGGGGACATTTACCAAGCGCTCTAGAAACCTAACTCTGTTTTAGTCACGTCACGTATTTACAGCAATTACTGTGAAAAGCATTATTTACAGCCAATGCTGATTAGGGCCTATGGTAGACTGTTTTTTCCTGTTGGGGTAATATTGATGTAAATATAAGCCTCTATGAGGTGAATGTCCCTTACACAGGTGAGGAGGACAAGATCAGCTCAAATTTTAACTAAAGCAGTCATTTTATTTCCCTCTGTGTCGCATCCAAGCGCTGTGCAGCAGTCTGAATGTAAGTGATGTTAGCCGCAAATTGAAATATTACGTTGAATCCGTATATTGAAGTGTGTTTTGTTTTATTACTCGGTGTATATGAACTTAAAGAGTTTCATTTAATCAAAGTCTCTGTTTAGGACAACAGTTTAACTGATGATTGGTCAGTAAACTCGTATGTGACTGTATTAATCCTGTGGAGGTTGATAGAGTTTAAGCAACCTTCAAACCGAGAAGTATACCACCACTTCTCGGTGTATATAGACTGAGAGTTTACCTTAGTCGTGGACCATGCACACAATTTCCGCTTTCGGGGCTGAGAGACTCACTCCTCACGTTGTTGTTGTTGTTGTTAAAGATTTAGCTACTCAGGACGAAGTGTCCATGTAGCACGGGCTATGGTGAGCCCGTATCACTCCTCACACAACTCCCACTCTTTATACTACAGTGTATCGGGAGCATCATCCACATCATCCTTCACTACTCCCTATGTGGTGGAGCGACTCATCTATCACAATAAATAAGACTGTGGGTATTTTTTCCTGCGTCAATATATATATATAATTATGCGTGGCCATTTTCGGAGCTCAGGGAACGTTAAGGCATTTTATTGATTGTGAGTAATGAAGAGATGCAAATGTTGCATCGTCGCTACAGGCAACGCTGTGTATTACAGAGTAATAATCGTTTCTACGGATAAAATGTATTCAGACGAACGGAATAATGTTCCGTTCGACTTGAGAATGGTCCAGGACGGACCGAAACGTCGTCGTCCCTTCAACTTCTAGTGTGTGGTCTGGTCAACATACTTCAGCCACGTTATTGTGACTCATCGCCTGCAATAATGTGCTTTGTTGTAGTCACAATTTAATGGCTGAAAACACGTCCTAAATCAACTGAGAATTAAAGTTACTCATGAGTATTGTGCCCACTTGCTGCCTCATCCTTGTGTACTCACTGTGTAACGCTACCAACGGAGAAAACACACTCATAATACACTCATAATACTCCAATAAACACAACACAATAATACACGAACACCAATACACGACGATGAATTACCTCACTGGTTCTAGTACTTGTCACAAGGACTAAATCAGAACATAACATAAAAACACAGATTAACTCGCAATTTTCTCCCATCAGTTGAATATGAAGAGTTGAGTGAAGTTGAGTGAGCTGAGTGAAGATGTCTCAAACCCCTTCCTATAGGCCTCGGGCCAGATTCACGAAAGCACTTACGCAAGCACTTACGAACGTGTACATCTTTCCTCAATCTTTGACGGCTTTGGTTACATTTATTAAACAGTTTACAAGCATGAAAACTTCCCATTCAACTGTTGTTATTGTTATAAACAGCCTCCTGGTGCTTCCGAGCTCATTAACTGTTTAATAATTGTAAACAAAGCCGCCAAAGATTGAGAAAAGATGTACAGGTTCGTAAGTGCTTTCGTGAATCTGGCCCCTCGTCTATTCACTAACAACCTTACCTGTATTTCTGCTTGTTCTTGGTAATAGGATAATATCACCTGGATAATACCAAGGCAACATCTTGATATTAATACCTGCAGAAGAACATAAATAATGGTACTAAGTAGGCTACTCAGCACTCTTGTAGATAATGGTTTTGTTACAAAAAGAGTGAATAACACTCTTCAGTAAACTACTCCGAGTAGATTAGCGAGTAACTACTCCACGTTGCCACAGTTAATGTAGTTAACCCTTTCTGTGCGCAGAACGAGTGTTGCCGGAGGGAGGGGGAGGGGCTTATTAGGGGAAAGCCTCATGTCATTACGGCTATATAGCACTTGGATAGGGTCAGGATAAGGATTTGGGTGGGACTGGGAAGGAATGATGCCCAAGTAGTTGGGCATCATTCCGGAACTACCTCTGTCTCGCATTTGGAGTAACCTATGAGTGGAGGAACGTACAGCATCCGTCCCAACCACTGAGGCAACTCGAGTACCGCTGCATTCAGTGATAATAGTGATAATCATGGCAATTAAGGTCAAAGGTCATGCACTGCGACCTGTAAAAGATGGGTTAAAAAAATATTTTACAGTTGGATAAACTAGTGTCTTTTATCACCTTGCTTTATCTGTTGTTTTGTCGATTAAAATGATTAATCCTAATGTTTTGTTCTGAAGGTTTCACGGTCCAAGAATTCCAGTGTTCTCTAGTTCTTATGTTCTTACGTGTTCTTATGTTCTCTCCTGTTCCTACTGCTTCTGGCTGTGTACCAGGATGTATTTTGTGCCATTACAGGTCAGGAATTCCTCGTCGTGAGTTTTTTTTTTTGTCCCATTTGCCGTTTTGTGACAATTTTCTCACAGTGCCCTGACACGGGCCTCACGGAAGATCATGTCACGTGCTTCAAGGAGGACATTGTATTCAAGGAGGACATTGTCTTCAAGGAGGACATTGTATTCAAGGAGGACATTGTATTCGAGGAGGACCTTGTCGCGTGCTTCAAAGAAGACCGTGTCACATAACTCAAGGAAGACCATATTGGGTGTAGAGAACAGTGAGTGAACTGGGTGTACTGTACAGTTAGTACAACGGGTGTACATTGTAGTACAATGAGTGTACTAGGTTAGAGTACAGTGAGTGTACTGGATTAAAGTATACAGTGAATGTACTGATTTAGCGTACACTAGTGTACTGATTGTACACTACAATTACGAATGTTTAAGAGGCGTTGTTTTGGTGTAGTGAAGACGTCCGATCGTCACTTCACTCCGGCTCTTAGCGAGGAGACTCTTGACTCTTGTGATCATTGGCATTTGGAAATCCTAAGTATTTAGTTTAGCCATGATAACACGCTGGAAGGTATAGAAATTGATCAGGTCTGAGGTCATGTGTGTTGGGTATAGGGGTTCATACGCGATCAGTCACGTTAAGGTCACCAATGGGTGGGTGACCAAGCGGAACAGCCTCGCATTTGGCAAGGAGGACCTTGATAAGTATGTCAGGCTTCCTGAATGGTTTTGGAATTGGGATTAAGGACTAGATATCATTTTAAGGGTTATTAAGAGCACCTCAATAGCTGGCTGATCAACTAGTAAGTAAACTTGAGTCCTGAACGGGGTTTTATTAAGATCTATGTAAACTCTCAGCCTATATCTACCTTTTCGGAGCGTATATTCAGTGTATATTATACCCTTAATGGTATACCATACCATACCATACTCGTTTGAAGGTGGCAGCTGTGAAAGAAAACGAATAAAATATGTACGACTTCTATTCATGAGAAACTACATTAAATTGCACTGGTCGATGGTCAACAATCTTGCCTTGTCCTGGTTTCCTGTTCTTGGGAGAAGAAAGTATTTACTGGTTGATAAATATGCTGTTGTGGTGGAAACTCACCAAAGAGTATGCATGGAGGGGTTTCGCATGCAGGACGTGGCTAGGAGGGTACGAGAACGTACCCTGCTAGGAGGGGTTTCGTATGCAGGACGTGGCTAGGAGGGTACGAGAACGTACCCTGCTAGGAGGGGTTTCGCATGCAGGACGTGGCTAGGAGGGTACGAGAACGTACCCTGCTAGGAGGGGTTTTGCATGCAGGACGTGCTAGGAGGGTACGAGAACGTACCCTGCTAGGAGGGGTTTTGCATGCAGGACGTGGCTAGGAGGGTACGAGAACGTACCCTGCTAGGAGGGGTTTTGCATGCAGGACGTGCTAGCAGGGTACGAGAACGTACCCTGCTAGGAGGGGTTTCGCATGCAGGACGTGGCTAGTAGGGTACGAGAACGTACCCTGCTAGGAGGGGTTTCGCATGCAGGACGTGGCTAGGAGGGTACGAGAACGTACCCTGCTAGGAGGGGTTTCGCATGCAGGACGTGGCTAGGAGGGTACGAGAACGTACCCTGCTAGGAGGGGTTTCGCATGCAGGACGTGGCTAGGAGGGTACGAGAACATACCCTGCTAGGAGGGGTACGGATGTACGCAGATTGAACACCCTTTCATAGAGGGTATGGGGTATCGGATGTGGCATGGAGATTTCTGGTATGAACTGAAGTGAATTTAACTGAATTTACCATCTCTAGTGGCGTCGACGGGGACAAGAAACAGGCTCGTTCCGTCAGTGGTTCGCCCCATTGTTTCTGAAGTTATTTTCCGGCTGAATTTTTATTAAATTGTAGTAATGTGTTGTTATTAACGGCTTTGGCGATTATCGGTGTTTATTGCCCTATTAACGGGCAATAAATAGTAAATATTTTGCCTTAAATAAGGCAAAAAAATCTCTCTAGTTTCTTGTCCTCTATTGTGGCTTGTTCAGCTTAACGTCTGTCATGTGATCCGTTACTTTGGCTTGAGACAAGTCCATGTACCTTACCTTGCGATGATTTCGGGGCTCAACGTCCCCGCGGCCCGGTCCTCGACTAGGCCTCTTCGTTGCTGGACTGGTTAGTCAGGCTCTTGGACGCGGCTGCTCGCAGCCTGACGTATGAACTGATCAGGTATCAATGGTTGGTTGATCAGGTATCCTTTGGAGGTGTTTATCAAGTTCTCTCATGAACACTGCGAGGGGTCGTACACTACATCTATCTACTTATGTCTACATCTACATAAGTTCTTCGTCAAAGTTGCTACTTACATTTTACAAAAAAGTGAGTGAGTTATCCGGGCAAATATTTTGTTTTTGTTATAAATCTATGATATGTTGATGTTACAAAAATGATGCAACTCTGAACAGATAAATGATCCCCTCCAATATCCCAATCACTTGGGCTGGACGGTAGAGCGACGGTCTCACTTTCTGCAGGTCAGCGTTCAATCCCCGACCGTCCAAGTGGTTGGACACCATTCCTTCCCCACCCCGTCCCAACCCAAATCCATATCCTGACCCCTTCCAAGTGCTATATAGTCCTAAGGGCATGGAGCTTTGCCCTTCCCTTCCTCTCCAATATGACTATGTAAATAAGCTTGCAGAGAGCGTATGTCATGAATAGTGTGACGTGGGAGAGGCCACCTTACCAGAGGGCGTGTCGACGAGAAGCGACACAACCTTACCAGAAAGTTAACATTCGCGCGAGTGATGATCTCAGCCAAGCGTGGAGGCTTCCGGCAAAGACCCGCCCTCCACACCTGGCTGGCGAAGGACCCATGTTAGTATTCGCTACCAATAAGCTGCACTCGTACGTAAAGAGGAAATTGAAGAGTCTGTGTCTAGGACCTTTACTCTCGTGTCATGAATAATGCACCAGGTAATTATACCTACTGAAAACAACTGGGATAAAATCAAGGTTAGCACAATGTGAATTCTAGGGGAAAAGGCGTCTGACGTACCATAGACGTAAGATATACATACTTAATTAAACCATAAAGAATGGAAAAAATCTAATGGTACGGTAGAGAACCCAGCTTGACATTACATGGTACCGTAGAGAACACACCCGAACGCAACATAGCATTCTAGAGCAGAGTTATTCAGTTTTTTTTCGTGCCGATCAAGAACTGCATTTTGTATTGCGACCCGGTAAGCTTATGTGTAATAAATCAGATACAAACTTTGTGAATTATGATCCTGTATTTACTATTGACAAATGGAAGATGGATATTTATGGATGGAACATTTTCAGTGTATTAAGATTCTCCAGATTGGTCAATATTGGTATACATTGCGGTATGCAGGCTCCGGGCAGTGTTGCGGGATGCTTTTGGATATGCTAAGGTATACCTTACGTTATGCTGATATTATAGTTTGCGACAAGCTTAGGAATGCCTTTCGGCATGCTAGAGTACACATTGAGAAATACATTTTTCATGCTACTGTTTACTTCGTTATAGTGTGCTATATAATGAGGTATACTATATAGTATGCTTTGATATGCTACCCCGCCGAAGAGAATCTGAAGGGCTAGCATTAGAGAACCACTTGCTTATATGCTCAATGACCCAGCTTCCACATTCTCTAAACCGTGCCTAACCTTTCTCCTCATAGGCCACTAGGTTAGGTTATTGATTGTCTGTCGAGTTAGCTTACACATCCCATTTGTACATTTGATACCTTAAACCAGGAAAAAAGAAGTAGAACTTAATTAGGAGCCGCCTGGAAGCTGTGTTTTTTAATAGACTTCAGGATGGTTATGAGATTCCAAAGACATGAGAGATGCATTCTTGATGGCAGTGGTGATTTGAAAACACGTTAAGGAAGAATTTAAAGTAGTATGTAATCTGGGGTCTTTTGTCTCCTGTCTGTCTGTCTGTCTGTCTGTCTGTCTGTCTGTCTGTCTGTCTGTCTGTCTGTCTGTCTCTCTGTCTGTCTCTCTGTCTGTCTGTCTGTCTGTCTGTCTGTCTGTCTGTCTGTCTGTCTGTCTGTCTGTCTGTCTGTCTGTCTGTCTGTCTGTCTGTCTGTCTGTCTGTCTGTCTGTCTGTCTGTCTGTCTGTCTTCTTTTCTTTCTTCTGTCTGATATCTGTCTCTCTGTTGTTACATTCTTGTCTGTCAGCCACTAGTACGCGTAGCGTTTCGGGCAAGTCCCTGGAATCTCTCCCTGCCGCGAAGAATCGTTAATCTGTCTTTGAAGAATCTGTCTGTCTGTCTGTCTGTCTCTCTCTCTCTCTCTCTCTCTCTCTCTCTCTCTCTCTCTCTCTCTCTCTCTCTCTCTCTCTCTCTCTCTCTCTCTCTCTCTCTCTCTCTCTCTCTCTCTCTCTCTCTCTTCTCTCTCTCTCTCTAAATATATTATTCTTACCAGAAGTGTACGATTGTAAGTAATCCACTTAACCCCACAAAAAGTGACAGTACTGCTGGGCCATATAGGAAAGAACCTATCAGAATAGCACGCAAAGGGATTACGACTTATTATCACTTGGAAGGGATCCAGAAAAGGATTTAGGAAGGGACGGGAAATGGTGCCAAACCACTTGGACGGTCGGGGATTGAACGCCGACCTGCATGAAACGAGACCGTCGTTCTACCGTCTCACCAGCCCGTGAGCCGTTTGCGAGTCATCATAGTCTGGTGGTCAATGTATTATAAACTGTGGTGTTAAGCGTTGCATTCTTCACCAACCTACTGTTAAATTTTAACTAATTTTTTTTAGGATTTGTTTTAATAGTTTTCACTTACAAAATTTATTTAATACTAAATATAAACTATATTTTTTCTAATAAATCAGTGATCGTTAAAAATAAAATTTGCATAATTTCTGTATTTTTTCTAATTGCAAATTTTTATGGATTTTATTGATAATGATCAATAGGTTCCTACTTTAACAAGACGTTGATCAATGATGATGATCCTCGTCCTCATCATCATCAGATGCCTCAGTTCTTGCCCTCGAGACGGAACATTCATCAGGGCAAAAACTAGTAATGAATTCTGGCTACCACAACAGCTCGGGGGAAAAAAACCCTCTCAGTGTATTAATAGCTTAACTCAGACTCTGAATGACCTTAATCCTGGTCATATATGTTGAGTCTCAACTTGCAGTTAATTACTCATTTCCAGCTTGTGTCCATTTGTCTGGATATAAATATGTTGACGAATTAAATCCGCTATACATTGCGTCCAAGCTATAACTATGTTGTTAACACATAGTTATAGCACCTGTTAATCACCTATTGTGATTGACATTCTATAATTGTGACAGATTTCTGGCTTTAAGGACTAATATCTGAGCAGAATAATATATATTATATACTGTTCGATTAATATAAATTCCCTCCTTGATTGTGTGAGTTAATAAATAGTAGATTTAATCATGTCTTTATTATTTTTATCTCAAGGACGACACTCCAAGGTCTTCACCCTTCAGAACTCCTCGGGTTCCTCCTCAGTTTCGTCAGCCGAGTCGAGGCCGACCTCTTCGTAGTCCTTCTCGAGGGCAGCAAGATCCTCGCGAGCCTCTGAGAACTCTCCCTCCTCCATGCCTTCCCCCACATACCTGCAGAACACGTCAATATGTAGTGACACTCTCATCTATCACACATCAAGCGTTCACAAGACAAGTCTGGCCTCAGGTTTTGAGAAGAACACCCTAAACAATCTCTAACAATCTGAAGCTGGAATACATGAATAATTCATATTGTTTTGTTCTATAAATTTTCTTAAAATATCGAACTAAAAAGAAAGGAAATACATGGTGCAAGGAAATTGGTGAGAGGGGGGAATTTGACTATATCCTAATGGGTTGGCCACGAGAAGCAGTAGTATTAATGAATATTATATTGCAGGTAATGTATATTTTAATTGTCAGGAGACAGTGCTTAACCAGCATGGCTACTTAGCACTTGGGATGGGATATAAAAACATGGCACTAGGATATGAGGACAAGAACAATGGAACGATATATCCAACCACTTGGAAGGTCGGAGATCGAACGCCGACCCAGCGTAAAACGTAAGGCACCTTCCCGTTTTGCTGGGGCTGTTCTTTTATTGACGTGTCGAGTGGGGGCGGGTACACCTAACCTCGAGGTCGAGCTTGAAGCGTGACTTACCAATGGACGAAAGCCCTCTTAGCATACATGAGGTCGAACTTGTGGTCGAGACGGGCCCAAGCTTCGCCGATGGCGGTGGTGTTCGACAACATACACACTGCCCGCGACACCTTGGCCAGATCGCCGCCAGGAACCACCGTCGGAGCCTGGTAGTTTATGCCCACCTGCACCACGAACCACCACAGACAATCAGGTCATTAACGATACCAACAATATTATGAAATCCCTACTCCGGTTTTTAATTTTAATTCAAACAAAAACCTAATCATTTGGCCAGAAAACGATGAGTTTTAACATCGTTGCAATGTTGCATTTTACGTTGTGTGAGTTCGCTTACCTTGAAGCCCGTGGGGCACCAGTCAACGAACTGGATCGAGCGCTTCGTCTTAATGGTGGCGATGGCGCAATTGACGTCCTTGGGAACGACGTCGCCCCGGTACAGGAGGCAGCAGGCCATGTACTTCCCGTGCCGAGGGTCACACTTGACCATCTGTGAGGAGACAAGGGCAACATTAGACACTGAGGCAGTCTGGATTGAATGGGTTTTTGTTTCCCATTCGTAAATTGGTTGGTATAGAGCAAGTCTCGTCTATCGCAGAGCCGGTATAGAGGAAGCCTCTTCTCTTACAGTGCCGGTTTTAGAACCCTGATAGTTCACTCGAAGACCACTCGAAGACTAATAGTTCGAGTGGTCTTTCGGACTTTCGGTCTTTCACTCCGGACTCTTGTCCCAGTCCCTTATCCTCTTGTTCCTTCAAAGTGGTGTGTAGTTATATTATCTTAGTGTCGACTAGACCACACACTAGAAGGTGAAGGGACGACGACGTTTCGGTCCGTCCTGGACCATTCTCAAGTCGATTCACACAATCGACTTGAGAATAGTCCAGGACGGACCGAAACGTCGTCGTCCCTTCACCTTCTAGTGTGTGGTCTGGTCAACATACTTCAGCCACGTTATTGTGACTTCTCGCCTGCATTAACTTAGTGCTATGTCCCTAATAACTTCATTCTTATAAAACAAAAAGATTTATGGTTCAGTAGTTATTTTCACAGCCAGTTGCACTATCCATATGCAACTCCGTAAAAAAAAAGAAGGTTTGCCTAGCCAGAAACGTACTAACCCAAACAACCCTGGCCAACATATCCATCACAGCCCGGTTGGTTCGGCACTCCTTGAAGAAAACTATCTAGTTTTCTCTTGAAGATGTCCACGGCTGTTCCAGCAATATTTCTTGTACTCGATGGGAGGATGTTGAACAACCGTGGACCTCTGATGTTAATCTTGAGATTACCTAGAGATTAGAGATTAGGTAGAGGCTGGTATATGTATAGACAACGTCACCTGATTGGCAGGCTCGAAGCAGGAGCTGGTGATCTCGGCTACAGAAAGGTTCTCGTGGTTGGCCTTATCGGCAGAGATAACAGGAGCGTAGGTGACCAATGGGAAGTGAATTCGTGGATAAGGCACCAAATTGGTCTGGAACTCCGTCAGGTCCACGTTTAGCGCGCCGTCAAACCTGCGGAGAGAAGAGATTTTAAAGAGATCTTCAACGCGTTAGATTATAGGGCTTTTTGTAAGGGGTTAAATGTATAATTCGGGGAGGGGGTGGGGAGATTGGCTTAAGGGTTCAGTTATACGGGTATATTCTCTTGTATAGGAGCATCCTATGTTTGGTTTTAATCATCAGCAAACACAAAAACTATTTTTTCTATTGCTTCAATTTGATTTTAAATGACGTTGTTGCATCAATCAAATCAATCACCTGTAATCACTTTTAGCATTATAATTAATTATTAAAATTAGTTGCATCATCTTCCTCATAATAACTATTATCTTATTTATAATCTAAGAAATTACCCACCACCAACATCACATATTTGTCTCAATTGCAAAACATTCTTCTATATACCGCCCGCTTATTTTACCTCCATGAATAGCATTCCCCTGCCCAACCACTTGAGCTGGACGGTAGAGCGACGGTCTCGCTTCAAGCAGGTCGGCGTTCAATCCCCGACCGTCCAAGTGGTTAGAAACCATTCCTTTTCTTCCGTCCCATCCCGAATCCTTATCCTGACCCCTTCCAAGTGCTATATAGTCGTAATGGCTTGATGCTTTCCCTCACACCACTGCTCCTGTGCCAGGTAAGTCCACTACGGGCTCACCACAGCCTGTGCTACTTGCCCCGCTTCTGTGCCAGATAAGTTACGGGTTCACCATAGCCCGTGCTACTTGCCTCGCTCCTGTGCCAAATAAGTTACGAGCTCACCATAGTCCGTGCTACTTGCCCCGCTCCTGTGCCAGGTAAGTTACGGGCTCACCATAGCCCGTGCTACTTGGAACTTGTTCCGAGTAGCTGAATCTATAACAACAACAACAGATGCTTTACCCCTGATAGTTCCCTTCCCTGACCCACCTGAGGGAGGCGGTGATGGAAGAGACAATCTGACCAATCAGCCTGTTGAGGTTGGTGTAGGAAGGTCGTTCAATGTCTAGGTTTCTCCGACAGATGTCGTATATCGCCTCGTTGTCGACCATGAAGGCACAGTCGGAGTGTTCCAGGGTCGTGTGGGTAGTGAGGATAGAGTTGTAAGGTTCCACCACCGCTGTCGCCACCTGCCGGAACACACAGTTACTAAGAACACTAACTAACAAATCCACAAGGGCCGTGATGAGGGTTCGAACCTACGTCTGAGAGCATCCCAGACGCTGCCTTAATCGACTGAGCTACGACATGGTTAAAAGAATTGCAATTGTCGATTAAGGCGCGTCTGGGAGCCTCTTGGACGTAGGTTCGAACCCTCATCACAGCCATTACACACAGAAATCACAATAGCGTGATGCATCAAATGAACAAATCCACAAGGGCCGTGATGAGGGTTCGAACCTACGTCTGAGAGCATCCCAGACGCTGCCTTAATCGACTGAGCTACTTTTAAACGTCAAAATCACAGATTAATAAGTCTAAGGACAGGGCGAGTAACAGACTCAGTGCGCATGCGCTACTTCGAAACCCAAGGAAATTGAACCAATATAATTAGTTGTGCATTTTATCGAAATTCGTTTATATGACGTGAAATAGTAGTACCTGAGGTGCCGGGTAGATGGCGAACTCCAGTTTGCTCTTCTTGCCGAAGTCGAGAGAGAGACGTTCCATCATGAGTGAGGTGAAGCCGGAGCCAGTGCCTCCGCCGAACGAGTGGAAGATCAGAAAGCCCTGGATAAGGAGAACATTTATTAGAAGATCTATGGTTGACGGGATGGGGCTGTGTGGTTGACGTGGTGGGGTTGTGTGGTTATGTGGTTAGTTCCATGTTAATACTACAAACAATAAGGTGCAGTAATCAAACAATGATAAATACTATTCTAACTGTTATAAAATTACTTGTTTTTAATAATATAAATAACTTAAAAAAAAAAATTGAAGATCATAATAATAATATGTTATTCACTCTAGTTTCTTAATGCTACAATACTAGGAGATACAAGCATTCACTCGTGAATATTAACTCTTGCGAGTATTCACTCTTATTTTTCGAGTATTCGCAATTATCTCACACGTATTTGCTGTTATCTTACGAGTATTCACTCTCATCTTACAAGTATTATCTGTTATCTTACGAGTATTCACTCTCATCTTACAAGTATTATCTGTTATCACAGTAAATAGTTGGGTCAAATAGGTACACATAAACACAGAAATCACAATAGCGTGATGCATCAATGAACAAATCCCCAAGGGCCGTGACGAGGAGCAGCGTCTGGGATGCTCTCAGACGTAGGTTCGAATCCTCATCACGGCCCTTGTGGATTTGTTTAGGTACCTGTAGACCGGAGCACTGGTCCGCCAGCTTCCTGACCCTCTCCATGGTCAGGTCGATGAGTTCCTTGCCGATAGTGTAGTGACCTCTGGCGTAGTTATTGGCCGCGTCCTCCTTCCCCGTCAGGAGCTGCTCCGGGTGGAAGAGCTTTCTGTAGGTCCCCGTTCGCACCTCGTCTGTGCCGTCGGCAGCGAAGGTGGAAGAGGGGGGGGGGCAGGGGGGAGGGGGGACAAGGGGAAGGGGAGGGGGGGAGGGGAGAAGGGTTTTCGTGGTGAGTCCTCTTTTGTAAATTATTCAGCTTTTGTATATGGTAATTTTTTGTTTATGTGTTGATTATATGTTTTTATTCAATGTACTCAGCTGAACACACACACGCACACATACACACACACACACACACACACACACACACACACACACACACACACACACACACACACACACACACACACACACACACACACACACACACACACACACACACACATGCTCCTAGTCACTCACCAATAACCGTCGGCTCCAGGTCCACGAAGACCGCCCTGGGGACATGACAGCCCGCGCCAGACTCGCTGAAGAAGGTGCTGAAGGAGTCGTCGTGGTGTCCAGCGATCTTGTCCGAGGGCATGGATCCATCAGGCTGAATACCGTGCTCCAGACAGTACAGCTCCCAGCAGGCGTTGCCGATCTGAACGCCGGCTTGGCCAACGTGTACACTAATGCACTCACGCTACAGAGGGGAAAATGGATTGAAACCGGTAGAGTACATGTAAATTTCACGTATGAAACTGGTATATTTCAGAGTATTTTTCATGGGGACGAGCTGATGTATTCATGCTACAAAATGAGTACAGGGAAGTCACATGTATTATACAGGAAAATCATATAGCTTTCCGCTTATTTGCGTGAAATTGAAATTGAAATAAGTTTATTGATGTAAAATACACACAAAGGGATGAGGTAGCTCACGCTATTCTCACCCCATTCAGTACATCGTGTTAATACATACATATACACACATCATAAACAATAAACATATTACCAAACAATGGCACGTACCCATGAGAGATAAACATATACATTTGCTCCTTTACACAAGTAGTATGGTATCAGACGTACCAAAGAAGATAGTCGATTCAACTCGTCCTCACATACCTTGAGGTTACCTTGAGGTGCTTCCGGGGCTTAGCGTCCCCGCGGCCCGGTCGTCGACCAGGCCTCCTGGTTGCCGGACTGATCAACCAGGCTGTTGGACGCGGCTGCTCGCAGCCTGACGTATGAGTCACAGCCTGGTTGATCAGGTATCCTTTGGAGGTGCTTATCCAGTTCTCTCTTGAACACTGTGAGGGGTCGGCCAGTTATGCCCCTTATGTGTAGTGATCAATCAATTGATTGATTGATCACATAGATCAATCAATCAACCTTCACACTTAATGAATAACTCTTCCTAAGTCTAAACCTTCAATCCGTCCCTACTCTAAACGCATCCATATTTGTACAAAAAAAATTCAACCACGCGAATCTTTAATGAAATTGAGTAACTATTTACGTGTGTTAATTAGCGTTTTTGTTTTTATTAATCCGGGTGATGGGGGTTGATGATCATTCCTCTAGCCAAGGATTATGATGATGGGTATGTTAATCATCCTTCTAATCTGGGATTATAATTACGTGGTCTTGAAACATTCTCAAAGCCCAGCTTTATGTATAGTGGACTATAATCATCACATAGTTCAATACTATAGGCATGGGGGACTATAATTATCCTCCCCAGAGCAAGATTATAGTCATGATGGATTATATAATCATCCTCCGAACACACGAGAATTATAATCACTCCTCGGTTTCCGGGATTATAGGCATGTGGAGTATAATTATTCCGGGACCAGAGGCATGGGACCCTACGATCAGCCTCCCAATCTGGGATAAATTTAGTCTTTCCCCCCTTCTCCCCCCTCCCCCCCCCCCAATCCCCCTTTCACCCATCCCCCCCCCCCCAATCCCCCTTCCACCCCTCCCCCCCTCCCACGGCAGCTACCGCACGTGCCCAAGGTAACGGAAGGACCTATAATTAACTCTCCTCGCTCCAGTCACTCTAACTCTCCTGATAAAACACGAATCTCCACACTCTCGACATTCACTCTCAACCAGTTACAAGACGCGTTTCTCCTTTAGATAATAATTGAACTCGTTAGAAACGAGTTAGTTCTCGTCAGTTTTGGCCCACCTGTGTTGTCATCCTTACGAGAAAACAGTGATCGAAAGAGTTGATCTGAGTGTTGCCTTGTGTTGGCTGTATTGATGCATATGTTGTGTGCTTCTGCGACTAGTAATCGCGTGTGTTTATGTGCTGCTGAGTGGGTAAGAGAGAGAGAGAGAGAGAGAGAGAGAGAGAGAGAGAGAGAGAGAGAGAGAGAGAGAGAGAGAGAGAGAGAGAGAGAGAGAGAGAGAGAGAGAGAGAGAGACTATTTATACCCGCCTCCGTGAGAGACTGCCAACTGCCGGGAGAGTGTAAGTCTGACACCTGACTTATTCTTGGTTATCCTTCGCAGAAAGAAGGAAGAATAGACGATGTTTCCTTAGCATAAAACACCGTCTTGAGCTGCTTTAAGCGTGACGCCAAAGCTCTGGTCAGACATCATCCCTACTTGTTCATCACGACTACAGTGCCACGTTAACTATTGCATTAAATTGTTTTCGGGCCACCATAAGAGCTTTCTGACCAACCAGCCAGTGTACCTTAATCCTGAACGTAGCTCATAACTGAAGTAAACTTATTTAAATACGTGGAAAAACGGCAAAATATTGCCTAAAGCCCAATATATATATATATATATATATATATATATATATATATATATATATATATATATATATATATATATATATATATATATATATATATATATAATATGTATGTATATATAATTAGGGTGGTTGTTAACTACAAGGTTCAATGGTTCAATGGTTACTCTTACTCCCTTTATTTTGTCAAATGTCACTCAGGGTCATTCATATATAATTGATTCTGAGTGGAATATTTTTCCCTGTCATTCCATTGACGTCACTAAATAAATAGGAAGAAACTAAATTTAATTAACAGGAAGCCAATTGGTTTCAAATAGGGGTTTGAGCACATCCTATTTTCTTTTCATCCCAAAATAGCAAAAAAGTCGACTAGGGAGTGTTAATGGGTTATGCTTCGACCCATCCAATACCCCGAGGAGGTATTATAAAAGACACAAACATTATATTGACCAGACCACACTCTAGAAGGTGAAGTGACGACGACGTTTCGGTCCGTCCTGGACCATTCTCAAGTCGAATCGACTTGAGAATGGTCCAGGACGGACCGAAACGTCGTCGTCCCTTCACCTTCTGGTGTGCGGTCTGGTCAACATTCTTCAGCCACGTTATTGTGACTCCTCGCCTGCACACTAACATTAATAAGTTAATATTTACCACACGAACAGGACATTTTGACGGAACGAAACTTTTCTACGGTGTAGAGAAGCGTTTTATTAAACAAAAAACAAAATCGTGTTATTTTGTATTGTGGATTTAGACATTGTTATAGGCCTTCTTCTTGAGGTTATCTTGAGATAATTTCGGGGCTTTTAGTGTCCCCGCGGCCCGGTCCTCGACCAGGCCTCCACCCCCAGGAAGCAGCCCGTGACAGCTGACTAACACCCAGGTACCTATTTTACTGCTAGGTAACAGGAGCATAGGGTGAAAGAAACTCTGCCCATTGTTTCTCGCCGGCGCCTGGGATCGAACCAAGGACCACAGGATCACAAGTCCAGCGTGCTGTCCGCTCGGCCGACCGGCTCCGGCCTAGATAAATTTTGGTTAGATGTTTAGGCTGCTTATATTTAGGGAACGTTTACAAACACAGACTTGAAGTGAATGATGAACGTTTCGAGTCATAGTTTCGAACGTAGTAAAACCTTAAGAACCACAATAGATTATCATTAGACACCTGATCCACACATCTGAATACGAAGACCTTTTCGGTCCGTCCGTAATAATGGTCCGGGAAAGACCGAAAGTTTCTCACTTCCATGATTTTCAGACGTGTGAATTGGGTTGCCTAATTTTCAGCCCCGTTATTGCCACCTGCTGTTTGCAATCACTCGAGCAAACGTGATTGCGAGTCGGCAATCACTTGTTGACTAGCAAGATGTGCAGCTGTGAACGGAGAGACATCGCTGATTCACCATACACTCTATATCTAATTTGAACGAAGTTAATATATGGTGAACACGCCCTGGGGACGAGTGGTAACTGGTGAATGCTTAAAATATCATCAATCACAGCTCCTGGCTCCTGTGCCAGGTAAGTCCACTACGGGGCTCACCATAGCCCGTGCTACTTGCAACTTTTTGTTCCCAGTAGTTGGATCTTAAGCAACAACAACAACAACTTAAAATATGTTGCAGAGTCAGCAATAAACTGGCTGTTGATTAGTGTAAAGCCGCCAGTCCTTATGCCTTGATTGGCACCTTGCTTATATCAATATTGATTGGCACGCTGCTCTAATCATTTCCAACTGAGATCGATATAGGTACCAATTTCAGATGGAAACTAATCAGAGAGTAGTGTCCACTACTCAACTACGTTCACTTCTTCTAAACACTACGTTCACTACGTCTAAACACTACGTTCACTACGTCTAAACACTACGTTCACTACGTCTAAACACTACGTTCACTACGTCTAAACACTACGTTCACTACGTCTAAACACTACGTTCACTACGTCTAAACACTACGTTCACTACGTCTAAACACTACGTTCACTACGTCTAAACACTACGTTCAGATTTCGTAAGCTACTTAGAGAGTAGCTTACCGTTGAACGTCCATAGTAATAATAAAACGCATTATCGAAGAAATACATAGTTATTTAATACATCTTATACAGGCCTATCCACTTGGAGTTTTCTATGAATTATTCTCAGTCCTTCCACAACGGTTGTGACCTGAGCATTGGGGTTGTTGTTGTTGTTGTTTTAGATATAGCTACTCAAAACGAATTGTCTATGTAGCACGGGATATGGTGATCCCGTAATTGGGAATTTCTGCTGGATTAGTGCTGAGAATTAGAAGTATCTTACCATGTTGTGTTGGAGATGATGTAGTGAAGTGGAAGACTCGGTGCTGGCCGTACGATGATGGCTGGCACTGGTAGTATACTGGCACTGGTGCCACGGCCCGGTGCCAGGGTGTGTGTGTGTGTGTGTGTGTGTGTGTGTGTGTGTGGGTGTGTGTGTGTGTGTGTGTGTGTGTGTGTGTGTGTGTGTGTGTGTGTGTGTGTGTGTGTGTGTGTGTGTGTGTGTGTGTGTGTGTGTGTGTGTGTGTGTGTGTGTGTGTGTGTGTGTGTGTGTGTGTGTGTGGTGTGTGTGTGTGTGTGTGTGTGTGTGTGTGTGTGTGTGTGTGTGTGTGTGTGTGTGTGTGTGTGTGTGTGTGTGTGTGTGTGTCATGTGTATGCCACTCCCACACACTCATGTTGGGCACGTACCCAGCAGCAATGACCCATGGGAATAAATAAAATTAAAGAATATATATATATAAAAACAAGTTGCCTGGTAACTTCCCCGACAAAATTAATTATATCAATTAAATTGCAAGAATATCAGAGAGAAGATTTGAAAGCGTTTTCTATGACATCTTAACTTGTTAAAGAAAACGTTAAATGTCAGTAACTATTATAAATTACGCGAGAAAACTTCAAGGAATTGAGAGAGAGATACAGATAGGAGAAGAATTGAGGGAGGCCCATATAGAAGGGAGAGAAGGACTAATAGGAGAGAGCGAGGCACTGAAAGGAAGGAAGGAAGGACACACCAATAGAATGATGGACACTGATAAGAGGCAGATAGGTACTGATATACAAGTGTGGTGGGGGGAGGTGCAGATAGGAGGGAGATGGATGGAGGACGAAAGTGGAAAGAATAGTAGAGAAGAAGAATGTATATGAGAGAAAGAAAGTATATACATGTATTTTCAGCGAGAGAGAGAGAGAGAGAGAGAGAGAGAGAGAGAGAGAGAGAGAGAGAGAGAGAGAGAGAGAGAGAGAGAGAGAGAGAGAGAGTAGGGGTCATGTTCAAGATCAGCTGAAGGGTAGGAGGTGACGTTAGGTAATGACAGGGAACAGGAAGTCAACCCCCAGAGCGGGAAGATGAGGAGCAGGAGTAGGAGTAGGACGAGCAGGAGGTGTATACCTATCAATAATTACCTATTAGTGATAACGGGGACGTGAGGTCCATAGCTCTTGAGACCCCACCTGCTAGCCTTGTTGAACCTGTTACGTTAATATTATAATATTCTCTCGTCGGAATTCTTTGTCGAGTTGAACCTTAACGTTGAGGCTGGAGGTGGCTTCTACAACTTCTTCCTTCAGTGCGTTCCACTTGTTGACCCCTGGTTGATCAGTCCAGCAACCAGGAGGCCTGGTCGACGACCGGGCCGCGGGGACACTAAGCCCCGGAAGCACCTCAAGGTATCCGTACAGGGTACGAGAACCTCTTTACATTTGTTCGACAATGGGCAGAGTTTCTTTCACCCTATGCCCCTGTTACCTAGCAGTAAAATAGGTACCTGGGTGTTAATCAGCTGTCACGGGCTGCTTCCTGGGGGTGGAGGCCTAGTCGAGGACCGGGCCGCGGGGACACTAAAGCCCCGAAATCATCTTAAGATAACCTTAGGATAGATACTGACTCATTTGCGTTTTCATTTTCCATGTATTCTCTCTCGTTGTTCTTCCTCAAGCTTTAAAGAAGCTGTCCTTGTCCACACTGTCAATTCCCCGCAGTATTTTGTACGTTGCGATCATGGCCCCTCTGTTCCTTCTCTCCACCAGAGTTGTAAAGCATCCCGTCCTCTCGCATAATACTGTATAAGTACTGATAAAATCAGTAGGATCTATGAGGAGGACTTGAAACTATGACGGTAATCTGCTAGGTAACAGGGGCATTCACATTTAATAACCCGCGCCAGAATTACTATCCATAGGCTACGAGGCCCCCCTAAATACCAAAATACATCTATGAGGAGGACTTGAAACTATGCGAATCTATGTCTATTTAATAGAGTCTACATAAAATATATACATTTCTCACTGATGAATCACGTTAATGTGTATCTTTATGTACTATAAATACTCTCATTTTAAGAGGCTGGACTGCTGTAATTAAATATACTGTATACTCATGACTAGGATTTAGAAGGTACATTGATCAGAGATTTCAAAATCAATACAGTTGTCAAGTTGAGAATCAGAAGCTACATTCGTAACAACCTACTCAAAATATCTCAAAATATTACAGTAATTCTTCAACTAAACTGGTGCACAGAAGTTTAAACCAAGCTTTACATTTTTTGGCACTGAATAACACTCAGCTTACAAATTGAAAGGTGATATACATTGGTAAAATAAAGTGTTGCTTGATCTGTAAGATAGATATAGGCACACTTAATATCTTACTTTACATATCTTACCTGATATGTTAGATTAAGGACCTGCCTGAAAAGCTATGCTTGTTAGTGGCTTTGCAGGAATGTAAAAATACCAATCTTAGGTAATCTTACCAACCCATTGTACCTTCTTGCAAATAAATTATTATTATTATTATTATTATTATTATTATTATTATTGTATCACAAAAATTAGGACGATGAAAACACAATTTATAGGACTAATATAAACTAATCATTCAGTGAAGCTATATACAATTTACAGACAATGAGTCACAATAACGTGGCTGAAGATGTGTTGACCAGACCACACACTAGAAAGTGAAGGGACGACGACGTTTCGGTCCGTCCTGGACCAGTATCAAGTCGTGTGATAATGGTAGACTTGATAATGGTCCACGAGGGACCGAAATGTCGTCATTTCTCCATTTTCTGATGTGTGGTTTGGTCATTATATAACTTCTCTCGAACGCTCAGTGTTCCCCATCATCTGACTGAATGAGAAACAAATGATACACTTTTACTTCAGAAGGAAATGACGTATACTCATTTCCCATTCATTGTGGTTATTCGTACACTCCAGGTATGAGTAGGTACCAGGTGGCAAGTACCGGTACCGGAGGCAGGTACCATACAGACCATGATCTGAAGGTGACCGCTGGAGGGACAGAGAGGCGAGGAACAGATCAGGATTTTCCGCAGAGAGAGAAGGATTCTGGGAAGGGACAGAGGGAGGGTGTGGGGGGTATAAAGGTGGAGGCAGGATATGGGTGTCAGGACAGTAGGATCTCCAGACAGCCATCCTGGCCTCGAGAGGTGAGTGTGTGAGCCTCGCTTGTGTCGTAGGGTCAATATGTGACAAGGAACGAGGAAGGAATTACATTTTTGTCTCAGTTTAAGTGACCCTGAAAGTTGGTAAGTGTTAACGCTTAACTTAGTGAGATCTTGTTGACGTTTTTCTCTGTAAGCCGGATTTACGAAGTCCGATTTATTGAGGAACTGGAAAACGGTTTGTGTAACAAACCGGCTGGGACATATTGACGGGTTAACCTACATCTATTGGCTCTTTATTGGCTTACCTTCCTGTCCTTAGCTGGCTTATATGAAGCGAATGAAATGCAATTTTCTACCAGACACGCCGAAACCCAACTAGAAATTAATACCTACCTCAGGAAGGATTCGAACTCGGGTCTACTGGATACAGAAAGCATGCATATTTCTCCACCTAACAAGGCAGGTATGATGTTCCCTTCCCTGTTCTGGTGAGGTATAGAGGCGTCCAGTGAAGCCTATGGAATGTGATGTTGTTTACTTATCATTAGTGAAATATAGTGGGATATATATAACGAATAAACGAGTGATATTTGGGAATATTTGTAACTTTGATCAATAGCTTTCTTTCACTATATTACTTGTTCTGGTATTTTGATGCAGTCCTACTCTGTGAAAGTGGAAACAGGGTAACCATAGTGAAGGAATTAATAGACATCACATATTAATTGATAGTGTTCAGAATAATTGCAGTTTTTCATTAATTATTGCGCATATATGAACCAGTTTTTTTTAGCAAAACAGGTCTTGTATTAATCTGATTTTCATTAGAATTATATATATATATATATATATATATATATATATATATATATATATATATATATATATATATATATATATATATATATATATATATATATATATATATATATATATATATATATATATATATATATATATATATAATATGACAGTGTCAGACCACCTTGAGGTTACCTTGAGGTGCTTCCGGGGCTTAGCGTCCCCGCGGCCCGGTCGTCAACCAGGCCTCCTGGTTGCCGGACTGATCAACCAGGCTGTTGGACGCGGCTGCTCGCAGCCTGACGTACGAGTCACAGCCTGGTTGATCAGGTATGGTTGACCACGGAGGAAGAATTGAAACAGAAATTTCCTTAAGTACTCTTGTATATAAAAACATCTTCAGAAGGAATACTTCATTCCTTCTGAAGATGTAGTCATATACGAAAGTACTTAAGGAAATTCGGCTTCAATTCTTCCTCCGTGGTCTGACACTGTCACATTTTTTCATCACGTGTTAATTTTCGTGATTTACACACATATGTAATATAATATTATGACGTGGATAAAAACATTTCATAAACTTCAATGTGCTTCAGTACAGTTCCCTCTGTCAGACCTCCAGCAGAGCTCCACTAAAGATAACTGAACACACAAAAAATTAGTTTCAGTTTGAAAAAATTCAGTTTCAAAATTTCCAATTTTTGATACTAAATAACTGGAGAAACACCAATAGCCCCGTCCCTCCTACAGAGACGATGATCCCAGACCAGGAGAAGGAGGAGAAGGGCAGCATAAAGCTTAGAGCACAGCTTTCGGAGACCCCGGGTTCGACCCCAACCTTCCGCCGGTACCCAACTGACCGCGACGTGCTGCTGAAGTCGTCGCACACATGGATCAGGGGCAAGAGGACGGACGACGACGCTGGCAGCTACTGGAGAGTCCACGACTTCCTGTATGACCTCACTGACTTCGTAGAGAAGCATCCTGGAGGTGAGAACACCCATACATCCGTCTGTAAGATCACCCATACTGCCCTCAGGTCTGCTCCCGTCTGCCTGCTTATGTCTATCATATAACTATTGAATATGACTGACAGGATTAGATCACTGATTTTGGTATTAATTGTCTCTAATATTTCTTAGGTTCTTCACTGGGGTGAGAAGTTGAACAATTAACTCTCCAGAGTTCATTTTATACTTTTATCACGCCTGACACGTTTTGTTAAGATACAACTTAACATTACACACAGAAATCACAATAGCGTGATGCATCACGGCCCTCAGAAACAGAGGGAAACTGGAGAGGTGGTTACTTTTTAGAGAGAACAGGTTAGTTTGATCCTGCAATCTCATTGGTCAACTGGGACAGTGGTTGAACTGTAAACTGGCGGTTCTTTCTTGGCTGTATGAGGTAGAAGATGGATGCTGATGCAAAATGTGAAGTGCTTCTGCTGTGTCTAATCTGTTGTTGCTCTTTCTATCAAACTTTTCGACTAGACATAGCAGAAGTACTTGCCATCAAACACAGCTAATTATCAACAACCAGCTTTCACCTAGGTATGGTCAACACAACCAAGAGAGAGAGAGAGCTGCTAGTTTATGGCTCACTCACCTTCCCAGTCAACCATACTGGAAATCCAGGACCCTGTACTCTCTACAACATAGCCATCTTTCCATTTATTGCACTATTATATAGTTCTGTGTTTGCCATTTGTATTAATTTTCGCTCTGTTGCTTACGATGCTCAAATGCAACTTAGGGATTTCGAGCCTTGTTAAGTGTTCTTTATGAAAACACTTTATGAACTTATAAGAACACTTACGAATGGCCTCAGGCAGGGACTGGATTGCAGCGACGCGAGGAACAGACATTACAGAGGTGTTTGAGAGCGCGCACCTCACCTCTCTCCCCCGCACCACCCTCCAAAGGTACCTGGTCCGGGAGGCTGGTGGAACCAGGAACTCTCCCTACACCTTCACACACGACGGCTTCTACCACACCTTTAAGAGGAAGGCAAGTAGAGATTTTGTTGGCTTTCGTGCTTTAGTTAAAGGCTGGTTACCTTTACACACAGAGAGATCACACTAACGTGATGCATCAAATGAACAAAGGCAGGTTAAGATTAGGCAGATTAAGGCAGTGTCTGGGATGCTCCTGGACGAAGGTTCGAGTTCTCGTCACGGCCCTTGTCACGGTTATATATATATATATATATATATATATATATATATATATATATATATATATATATATATATATATATATATATATATATATATATATATATATATATATATAACTCTGAAAATGTCACTATTTCTTTTACTAATAAAGTACAAAAGAATCAATCACATGCACACACAAAAATAATAAAGTCTTGTACCTGACCACAGGCTCGGGAGACAGCCGGACGGGTGGGAACCGGGCCGTCGTTCCACATGCTGGTTCTACAGGATTGCCTGGTTCTTCTCTCCCTGGTTCTCCAGGTGACTGCGGCAGCCACAGACTCCTTCGGTGTCGCCCTGGCTGCAGGTAGGCCCACGGTAGGGAAGAAGGGAGATTGGGTGTTGATTGGGGGAACAGGTAGATGGTGGCTGATTGGATTACCTGGGAGGAGGAATTATTTTACCTGGGTGTGGATGGAAATTATTGCAGGTTTTTGTGTGTTTTTTTGGAGGGGTAATTTAGAGATTGTTGTTGATAGGTTTGTTTGCGAAGTGTTTTTTTTTTTTTTTTGGTACGACTTTTCGAACGGTGTTTTTTGTAGGTAAGACTTTTCGAATAGTGTTTTTTGTAGGTAAGACTTTTCGAATAGTGTTTTTTGTAGGTAAGACTTTTCGAATAGTGTTTTTTGTAGGTAAGACTTTTCGAATAGTGTTTTTTGTAGGTAAGACTTTTCGAATAGTGTTTTTTGTAGGTAAGACTTTTCGAATAGTGTTTTTTGTAGGTAAGACTTTTCGTTGTGGGAAACAGGCGGTTCTCTTGAATTGCCACAACATACGAAATAATGGGTTATTAAATCTACAAACCCAAGCCACCCGCCTAACCTAACCAAACTAATGTAGAAAACTTTGATCCGTGTAAACCGCTACTTTTCATAGTACCCCATATTTTGTACGGTGGGGATCAAAGTTTACAAAATGACCAGTGGTTATTGCATGTACAACCATTCCTCGCGAATAATACATAGCATTTTGGCGTATAAAAGCCCCAACGGCCAAACTATGATGTTCTGTAAAGCATAACAGCTCATAAAACTGGCAGACTGTCTCGTTTTCTAACCGTATGGGTCCTCAGTTAAGGTTAGGGTTCGGGCAATTTAGTAGATCATTTTTGTGACGATGTGACAACTGGAGAGAACGGGCTGAACTAATGACTGTAGTCGATATCACACTCGTTGATATTATTATAACCACTTTGGTACCTGATATATAAGATAGCATTAGTTGTTTCTGACGGAAGTATCACAGTTGTTATTGAACGTAAAACTTGTACTTTTTTTTAGATTAGTTTAATTATAATTGCACGAAAAACGAGTGTTTTTTCCTTGTTGCTTCAATAACTCACGAGGTTAAAATGTTTGTCTTAGAACAGCGTCTTTTAAGTGGGCTTCAGACATATTATCAGGAGAGCTGAACATGGAGGGAGCGCCCAAAAATTTGATGCAGGTTAAAAACAAGTTGTTATTGCAGACATTTTGATTCACTTGTCCTTTCCAGGAATCTTTTTGGCACTGACGGGGAACTGCGCCCATAACTTCCTGCACCAGCGAGACAATTGGAGAATGTATTACTTCGACCTGACCTTCCTCTCATCCCACGAGATGAGGATCACCCACGTTCTATCTCACCACGCCTATCCCAACACCATCTACGACTTCGAAGTGGCCGTCCTGGAGCCGTTCTGGGAGTTCTTGCCTCGTCCAGAGAAGAACTTTGTGCAGAGGTACGGGAGCCTCGTGCTGGATCCTATCCTCCTGCCTCTCGCTCTGTACGCTGAGGTGTTGAAGAGAGTCTGGTTCATACTCTCTGGTCAAGTGAAGCTGAGACCAGAGAATCTTTTACCTTTATTGCAACTTATAGTCATGGCAGCGTTTGCACAGTCATTTAGGAAAGCATTATGGTGAGATTTATTATATATTGTAGTTGAATGTGTTACATTGCAACTCAATTATGAAATTAAAATAGGTGAAATGACAAGATTTGACAATGTTGATAAAAGGACGTCTCTTGCAGGCTGTGGTTGGGGGTCCATGCTGCATGCAGCGCCCTCATCGTTGGGCTGACCTTAGCCGGCACTCATCACCATCCGGACATCTTTCATGAGGGGGACGTCATGAGGGAGGATAGAGACTTTGGTCTATGCCAGCTGGACGCTGTGAGGGACAGGTGAGCCAACTGCTTTTCTTTAGCTAAAATAAATTTTGTTTAACCAAACCACACACTAGAAAGTGAAGGGACGACGACGTTTCGGTGCGTCCTGGACCATTCTCGGTCCAGGACGGACCGAAACGTCGTCGTCCCTTAACTTTCTAGTGTGTGGTCTGGTCAACATACTTCAGCCACGTTATTGTGACTCCTCGTCTGCAAAGTTTGTTTAGTTTGACTCATTGCTTTTGGGGAGTGTCTGCTTCGATTAAGGTGGGACGATGCTGTTTCCTGGAGTATGGAAAACCTGGTAGAACTGAATTTGAAGTCAGAAATAGGTTCTGCATTGTTTTCAGATATTCTGTTAATTAAGAATTTTGCACTGTTTTCAGGCAGTCTCTCACTGTTTTCAGACTTTAAAACCTTGCGGTGTTTTCAGGCAATTTTAAACATTTTGCATTTTTTTTAGGCAGTTTCTATAATTTACAGTTTTAAGGCAGTCTCTAAAATTTTGCACTATTTTCTGAAAGTTTCCAAAGGTCTGATTTCAGGCAGTTCAAAATTTCTGACAGATTTTCAGGCAATTTAAAAAGACAACATGGCAGTTTTAAGGCAGTTTCCAAGAATTTTATGCTACTTTCATGCTGAATTCTCAAGCTGCATTAGATATATTCCTTAATGAATGTCAGTCCAACCTAGTAAATATTCTAACTTCGGAAATTTCAGGGTTGAAGTGAACTCTAACCTTCTTTTGGTGGCTGTAAGCTATGGACACCACACACTACACCACCTGCTACCAGCCGTCGACCACTCTAAACTGGTCTACTTCTACCCGGATCTCTACGCCACATGCAAGGAGTTCGGTGTCAAGTTCAATCTGGTGAGTTGCTGGTACATGATCCTTGGGAAATATCTACAGCTGGCCAACACCAGACCCAGCCTTATCCCCAACACTGTGGGTGGATCTGGTCGAGGGGATAGGTGAGGTGCAGCAGCCCAACCTTATGGCCAGTACCTTGGATAATCTGGTCGATGGGAGACGATTGAGGATATTTCGAGTCTGTTTCAAGTGCTTCCTCTACCCTCTCTTTTGTCTATGTTTTTATGTTATCAATAAAAATGTATTTTTAATTATATAATACATTTAATTACAAAACAATAAACTCGTTGTTTCATTGATGACGGAATTACATTGCTAAATAATCTGCAATAAATATTGAATATATTTTGAGAGGAGTTGAAGGTAATACAAATCGTATATCAATCAATTAATATTAAAGATATCTGTAAAACATTTAGTAAGGCTTATTAAAAAGTTTGAAGAAAGTCTATGCAAGCTTATCAAACAGATGGACAAAAGTCTATGCATGGTTAAAACAGCTAAGCAAAAGTCTATGCATACTTATTAAACAGCTGGATAAAAGGCTTTGCATGCCTAAAACAGCTAGCAAAAGTCTATACAGGCTAATTAAACAATTAGACCAATAGATGTGTTAGATTATCTGTTCCGTAAGCAAATTTCTAACAGAAATTTAACCACCGAAACTTATTTTACGAAGGCTTACAACAGCCACTGTTAAATTCATTGTTGAAAGATTTATTAACCCCATAGTTAAAGACCAAAGGGGATATATATATATATATATATATATATATATATATATATATATATATATATATATATATATATATATATATATATATATTTTTTTTTTTTTTTTTCAAGCCGATTATTCAGCCCTAATGTCTAATCTGGTAGAATTGTTATGTATACTCAGACCGGATGTGCATTTCTCATGTCAGTTCTTGCCGGATATCAAGTCTTCACGATTGTTTGGCCCAGATGTGAAGTTGTCACATTTGCTGAGGTCGGCAATGGAGTCCTCATGTCTCCTCAGGATGGCTATACGGTCCTGAGCAGACATGATGTCTACGCAGCAGCCTCAATGGCTACTCATATTGAGTTATCTACTTTGCAAGCTTTCTTTGTTTTTGAAAATTAGCTTTAATTATTAGGGATGGAGAAGCAAGGGGTATTTCGTCACTTTCTCTGGTCAGAAAGGATTGACTGGGCACCTAGCCTAAACTGTTTACCCCCTTTTCACCCAGCAATAATCGGGGTCCTAGTTGTAAACCGATTGTCGGGTTGCGTTCCAGAGAAAATCCATAGGTTAAAGATAAGATATGATAAGGAAATTAAAATGCAGATTGTTAGATATATGTTAAAAGTCCAAATTGTCTGCATATACTGGTGCTGTATCTTGGCTTATTGCATGATTGTTTGGTGAATAATATAACCATTCTGGCATTGTTAACATGTAGTGGTTGAGACAGAGATAATTGCTTCAAGACAAATTTGATTTCACCTGAATTTATTTGAGAACCGCAAACTTTTTGGAGGCCTCGACGAGAACGGGAAACCTGAACATAGTACTGGACTAGAGTAAACTCAGTGAATAAACACCGAGAAGCGAAGTATACCTCTCGGGGTATATATATATATATATATATATATATATATATATATATATATATATATATATATATATATATATATATATATATATATATATATATATATATATATATATATATATATATATATATATGTCGTACCTAGTAGCCAGAACTCACTTCTCAGCTTACAATGCAAGGCCCGATTTGCCTAATAAGCCAAGTTTTCATGAATTAATTGTTTTTCGACTACCTAACCTACCTAACCTAACCTAACCTAACTTTTTCGGCTACCAAACCTAACCTAACCTATAAAGATAGGTTAGGTTAGGTTAGGTAGGGTTGGTTAGGTTCGGTCATATATCTACTTTAATTTTATCTCCAATAAAAAACAATTGACCTCATACATAATGAAATGGGTAGCTTTATCATTTCATAAGAAAAAAATTAGTGAAAATATATTAATTCAGGAAAACTTGGCTTATTAGGCAAATCGGGCCTTGCATAGTAGGCTGAGAAGTGCGTTCTGGCTACTAGGTACGACATATATATATATATATATATATATATATATATATATATATGTCGTACCTAATAGCCAGAACGCACTTCTCAGCCAACTATTCAAGGCCCGATTTGCCTAATAAGCCAAGTTTTCATGAATTAATGTTTTTTCGTCTACCTAACCTACCTAACCTAACCTAACCTAGCTTTTTTTGGCTACCTAACCTAACCTTACCTATAAATATAGGTTAGGTTAGGTTAGGTAGGGTTGGTTAGGTTCGGTCATATATCTACGTTAATTTTAACTCCAATAAAAAAAAATTGACCTCATACATAGAGAAAAGGGTTGCTTTATCATTTCATAAGAAAAAAATTATAGTAAATATATTAATTCAGGAAAACTTGGCTTATTAGGCAAATCGGGCCTTGAATAGTAGGCTGAGAAGTGAGTTCTGGCTACTAGGTACGACATATATATATATATATATATATATATATATATATATATATATATATATATATATATATATATATATATGTCGTACCTAATAGCCAGAACGCACTTCTCAGCCTAGTATTCAAGGCCCGATTTGCCTAATAAGCCAAGTTTTCATGAATTAATGTTTTTTCGTCTACCTAACCTACCTAACCTAACCTAACCTAGCTTTTTTTGGCTACCTAACCTAACCTTACCTATAAATATAAGCTAGGTTAGGTTAGGTAGGGTTGGTTAGGTTCGGTCATATATCTACGTTAATTTTAACTCCAATAAAAAAAGTTGATCTCATATATAATGAAATGGGTAGCTTTATCATTTCATAAGAAAAAAATTAGAGAAAATATATTAATTCAGGAAAACTTGGCTTATTAGGCAAATCGGGCCTTGCATAGTAGGCTGAGAAGTGCGTTCTGGCTACTAGGTACGACATATATATATATATATATATATATATATATATATATATATATATATATATATATATATATATATATATATATATATATATATATATATATATATATATATATGTCGTACCTAGTAGCCAGAACGCACTTCTCAGCCTACTATTCAAGGCCCGATTTGCCTAATAAGCCAAGTTTTCCTGAATTAATATATTTTCTCTAATATTTTTCTTATCAAATGATAAAGCTACCCATTTCATTACGTATGAGGTCAATTTTTTTTTATTTGAGTTAAAATTAACGTAGATATATGACCGAACCTAACCAACCCTACCTAACCTAACCTAACCTATCTTTATAGGTTAGGTTAGGTTAGGTAGCCGAAAAAGTTAGGTTAGGTTAGGTTAGGAAGGTTAGGTAGTCGAAAAACAACTAATTCATGAAAACTTGGCTTATTAGGCAAATTGGGCCTTGCATAGTAGGCATAGAAGTGCGTTCTGGCTACTAGGTACGACATATATATATATATATATATATATATATATATATATATATATATATATATATATATATCTCCCGCCTCATGATCCTCCCCCATGTAAATATTGTCAGTAAAATATCTAAACTCGCCACGAGGTTGCTGCAACGTTGCTTGTGCTGAACATCGACAAAAAATAATGCCATCAGAGTCATCTGGCGTCAAAACCACGAACCTGTGGGGCCTCAGCGCGGAGTTGCTAGCTAGTCATTTCAACCTTTCTACTGGTAGTTGCATATCAGTTATTGAAAGCGCGTCTTGGTGGGGCCGGTAGTGGGGGTTGATACTCAGTCACCGCTGCTTACTGAGGCTCTCGTGTGTTGGGACGGAGTGTGACGCCATGGTGGAGATCACTCGTTGCGTGGCTCTGGCTCTCTTTCTCGTGGGTCTCCAGGCAACCCATGCTATGTTAAACGCTCCAGGTGAGTGAAATGGGGCTAGAATAGGTGTTAGGGAGAGTGGGATGTATTGGGGAAAGTGTTAAACTGGTGTTGGTTTTTTTCCTCTTTGGAAAGGCGAGGGAGACACTTGATGACTTTATTTTATAAAGTTTCTTGTGTTTGATTTCTTGTTGGATATTTGTGGCTGATGTTCGTATCTTCATTCGCGAGGCGTATGACTTTGCGTGCGTGGTAGAACGACTGTCTCTCTTCCTGCAAGTCTGCGTTCAATCCCCGACTGAAAGTGGTTGGGCACAATTCTTTCCGTCGGTCCCCATCTGATTATTCTTCTGATTTTCATAAGTGTTGTATAGTCGTAATGGCTTCACGCTTTGTCTTGAAAATTTATTATTCATTTTGAGTTTGCTAACCCGTTGTATAGCTTTGGCGGCAGTTTGATAGTACAAAATAACTTGTGTGAATTCTCCAGATTTGTCAAAATTTAGAGAATTTTGAAGATAATTGTTCAAAATGACTAAAGATGCTTCGAAAAGATAACCGTTTGGACACGGTGAATTTAGAGGGCATTTAGATATATTGAGAAGCTTTAATATATATACACACAAATGGAGTTTTGTAGTATGGTAAAATTCCTGTAGACTATATACATGGCCCTAATTTGTTTCAAAATAGAAAATTTAGGTAGATGCTGTAACTACCACTCACAATACCTGTTAATTACCGATACCCAATCCTCCTGTAACAGGCAGAGACAGTGGCAGAGGAGGGGGTGGAGGCCCACCGTGGCGTGACAGTCTCGCTCTCAACATAATACCAAACACGAGAAGGTCACCCTATGTTCCTTCAGCCACTCCCCTGGTCAGGACACGCAGTACGCATGCGGACGACTCTCTCAAGCGGACACCTCTTGCTATAACGTCAGTCGGTAAGCTAAGTCTTGACTTGCTGAAATGAATCTTTGCCTGATGGATTTGTCAAATTTTGTCTTTTGCAGGGAGTGGGGGGGGGGGGTAAATTACTCTTAATTTGAAATGTGTTCGTTCAGATATACTTTTAATCATTTAATATCTAAGGTTTTTGGTAGAGGTATGTATATGAAACTTAGTTATACATGTGGTATAATATAGAATACATCAGGTTAGCGTCTCGGCAAGTCGTCTAACATCTCTGAATATTCTTCTTAATCAGAAAAGATCTCTGAACCTCTCTCCTGGAGCACAAGCAACGCAGCCAACCACATAGCTTCGAGGCGCCGGGCTCTTGACGGGTCAAAAAGTACTAAAAAGGATAAAGATGTCGGCGACTCCGTAAGCACACAGACTCGAAACCAAACTACATTCCCCCGCTCAGACGTTGGTAAGACTGTCCTCTACATGGATTCTTGATTGTATGGCTGCAGAGGGTAGTGTTCTTTATCTTAATCTTCTTGACAGATGATCTTGGTAGGCATAGGATTGTTGACAAATTTACAAAGACTTTAAATCTTGCCTAATTTGTCTGAATTTTTCTTCATATCCATTGTATCCTCTAGCAGTTGTGTGAATTTAATTGAAAGTAAACGGATAAGAAATGCATATGTTATTTCTGTATTGTTAAACATTCTAACCCCCCCCCCCCCACCCCACCCAAACTAAGCCTTCACTACCCCTAAAAGTTCCCAGATTACTAATCTGTGGTAAAGCATCCTTACTTCTAATACTAGATTTGTTTACCTTGCCTACCTTCTTGGTTCAACCTTTATGTACATAAATCAATGTGATCAGGCCTCGTGAATGATTATCTAGTCTAGCAGACTGTTTACCCAGTAAATTAGATCTTTGTCATGACATAATAACACTTGACATACTGGCTACCTATCGTCTCCACAGCCTCGCCTCGGCCATCAGTGTGTGACAAGAGGCGGATGTTCCAATGTCTCAATGGGGAATGTATCAGCCGGAACTTCTGGTGTGACGGCTCGCCTGACTGTCTAGACTTCTCCGACGAACACAACTGCACCATGGTCAGTCTAGTTTACCAGCACTTTCATTATTCTAAGTGTTGGCATGAGCGACACTTAAAATAATGAGTAAATACAAATTCTCTCGTATTACTTTTGCCTCCTAATAAATTTGGAGGTGGTAGCCCCATTTACTCGAAAGCTTGTTTACCTGCTATAGAGCTATGTAAAGATAACCATATAATAGGATTAACAAAGCCAGCAATTGTTAAAATCTGTTGGTGAAAACATTAAAGGGGAAGGTGGTTTGGGTAAAATTTTTTTAGTAATCCACAAAGGGAGGTGTAATGGAATTGAAGTTTGGCAATTACTTGTCTAAGTCAGACTAGTAATAAAGAATAAATTTAGTAGTTTAAATACTTTGTTCATCTACGCTATTAAATCTTCGTCAGAGGATGAAGGCCAGACCATTGGTAAGTGTTTCTTCCCTTCAGTAACTTTAAAAAAAAGTTTGGTTTGTGATCTCAATCTGTGGGGCTTCCCCATCCCTTTTGTGATATTTTGTGCAGTGAGGAAATGGCGCATAGCTTTTAAACTAAAGTTACCCCCGCAGTTTACCTGCGCGTCTCGATAAAATCTTCAGACGATGGATTTAGAGTAATGAAAATAGGGCTAAAGATGACGAAGGGGAGGGGGGGTTAGAATTTGCTAAAGATGTACCTGGGCACCCATGGGTACACCTTTTAGCAAACTAAAATGGCCCTTAAATTGATAATTTTAATTTAACAGAATGGACTGTGCAAGAACTACCAGTTCTCGTGTACGAAGAGCAGTAACTGTATACCTGCCACTTGGAGGTGTGACGGTGAGGCGGATTGTAACGACGGCAGTGACGAGCACAACTGTACGGTCAGTACCTGTTGCTTTGTCTTGGTCATTTACTTGAACTATACTTTGGCCTGGTTCCTTGAAATAGATCATAATGCCACTAGCTAATGTTGGTTGCACAATCATTTGTATGTGAAAGAGTTGGCATTTCTACAATTTTTTGGGCGGAACTTTCCTAGATTGATATCTTGTCCTGATAAAGATATATTAATTGGGTATCAAAGATCTTAAATGAATGCTATTCCGATAAAAGTTTAAATTGCAAATTCCAACAAATTCAAAGTGGACATTTTTAAGACTTCTCTAAAGTATTTTGTTCTGCGTGACAAGATTATGACTTTTTAAACACTACTAACTGGTTTAAACTATCACGCGTATAGGTTTAGCTTTACTTTCATTAAGCTTTGATAAAATTAAACTTTACATACCAGCTTTATAATAAAGCTATCGATCGTAAATTTATGGTTCAAAGACCCTAACATTCACGAGCTGGAAAGTGAGTAGGTGAAACTGCAATTTTACTGCCATTAATCTATTGGGATTTTGGTTTGCATAATTTTATTTTTAATACCCGACACGAACTACCGCCTGACATAGGCCTAATACCAGAATATATATTCTATTGAAAAGTTCCTGGGTATGCTGGGAAGAATAAGATTTCCTTGTATAAGTTTTCTTTAGTGTTTTCCATGTGAATATTTAATCCTATTGTACTAGTTTACTCTTGAATTTGGGGGAAGAAAAGCAGATTTTACTTTAAATCTTGCTATTTCCAGACGACTACAACCTGTTTAAAGCACCAATTCTTGTGTCGAGGTGGAAGCTGCATCTCTGCCAACTTGGTGTGCGACTACGAGAAGGATTGTCCTGAGGGTGATGATGAAGAGCAGTGTGGTAGGTAACTTAGTTTTTTCCTCTAATCTCTCCCTCGATCCAACGTTTTTCTCCTTGATAGGAAACCAACTGGGTTGTTGGTTTCAAAGCAGAGCAACACTTTCTTTGTCCACAATTAGACTGGATGATCAGGTCTTGTCAGAGGCAGGAAGACTGACTACTTGAAGCTTCAGATACTTTTAAACGCCAGTTTAAATTTCAGTCTGTTGCTCTGTTTTCAGAAAGGCATTGAAAACTGCCACAAATGGCTAGATATGAAACTGAAATTTTAACATTTGGAATATTGGTCAGAGTTCCCCGGCCCCTTGAGGCGTAGATCAAAGTGGCATTACTACCCCCCTCCTCCCCCCCCCCCTGGTTTTCCTGCCCTTTACCGTAATTCAAAAGTAACCATTAACAGTGTTCGAAGGGTCGTAGTGTCCTTCAGAACTATTGATAGACGATAATAATTGAATATATGGTTATTTCTCTGCTTGAACCCTAAATTTCTTTACGGTAATACTTTCTAAAAAAGTGCTGTTCTCTGCAGGAAAGGTAAAGTGCCTGTCGAATCCTGGACACTTCACGTGTCTCTCGGGAGACTGTATCTCTCCTGAGGAGACTTGTGATGGTAGGAGAGACTGTGATGATGGAAGCGACGAGGGAGGCAGATGTGGTGAGTATGGTGGTGATGGGGAGGGTCCCGGTAGGTAGGGAAAATGGTGGGTAGGGAAGATGGTGGGGATGGTCCCGGTAGGTAGGGAAAATGGTGGGGAGGGTGGCGGTAGGTAGGGAAGATGGTGGGGAGGGTGGCGGTAGGTAGGGAAGGTGATGAGGGTAGATAGTTGTGGGGGCAAGCGTAATTGCTTTGCATAGTTCGCAGTCCTTTTAATGTAATAACTACCATGTTGAGCAACTCTGGCAGCATAGCAGAATGGGGGAGAGGTTGGAGAGGCGTTTATTCGTGTTTCTGAAATCCTTTGTGGCCTCGATATTGGCTATTAAACTGTTGTATGAAGTACGGGTTATTAATAGTAAGACGTAAAGTTGAAGTACCGCAATTCAGAATTTACATTACTGTATGATTGTTAAACATGTGGTATAAATCATTCCTAGACTCCTTCACTCCACTCCATTTCGTGGGAGAAGTAATAAATAAAATGGTGCACTGAAGCTCTAACAAATTTAATGTTTTGTGCCACTGTAATATTGAAAATTTTCCTTTTAGAATTCTCACCTGCTCTAAAACTAATACCATTTAGTATTGGAACTATTGATTCAGCAAAAGTTAATATATATCAGAGGTTTGCTGTTACTAATAATTATTGTAGTAAATTACTAGTGATAAACATGTCTAAACCGAAGTCTACTTTTAGTCTTAAGTCTTATTAACACGCACATTCCCTATCAGTCACGCAATCGGAAGACAGCGACCGGAATGCAATTTTTTTATAAAACAAAATCTCTTCTGAATAAAAATATTTTAACTAATGCAAAAGTCAATCTGACTGAATAACTGTCCATAAGAGGGGCTTCATGAATTGGAGGGGTGGGGGAACCCCACCCCCTTCCCCCTTCCTGTTACTCGTGAAATGGTTTAATACTAGAAAGTTTAACGAGGCTAGGCTTAAACGTCTGGCCTCCTTAAAACGGATTAGTATAAAGATTAATACAAATCTTGGTAAATCTGACCTGTCAAGATATACTTTACACAACTTGAGTATACCCATTCACATTAACTTTCAAGTTTTCTTTGAAGGGTAAACATTCCCGGTTGCCAGCAGGTTAAATGAAATACTGCATCAGACGCATGCCTGTACAATGTGGCTTCTCGAAATTAGCTTCTGGATTTTATTTAATGGAAGAGGTAACTGTAGTTAAACAGCAATGTTAATAAATTACCCAATTTAAGTGTAATTATGCAAATTAAAATAAAGCTGGTTCGAAGAGGCACTCTATTCAGCTGGTAAAGTTAAAAGTGGTAGCAGTTGACCAGAGTTTGATAGTAAATGACTAACCAAAGAATCACTGTTTTTCAGACGACAGGTGCAAAGACGGCGACTGCTCTCATCAATGTTACATGACCCCGCGAGGCCCTCACTGCGTGTGTCCGTCTGGCCTGACACTTCGCTCAAGCGGTATCTGTGAAGGTCTGTGAGCACCCCCTTTAGTGGTCAGTGGGATTGATATATTGTGCACACTTTCCATAACATTAGTGCATATGAAGCGTACAGGCCTGACTGGAACGTTTGAGATTAATTTTTAGTGGCATTCTTGCTTCAGACGTGGACGAGTGTCGGGGTAATGTGAGCTTATGTGACCACTTCTGCATAAATGTACAAGGCGGCTATCACTGTGACTGTCATCAGATGTACAACCTCCAGTCAGACAACGCCTCCTGCGTGGCTAGAAGTAAGTCTCCCTGTGCTGGCCTGAGGGGAAAAAGATTTGTTAAACGTTAAAAAAGACTATACTTGATACAGAAATTGGTTTATTTCACCATGGGTGAAAGTGAACAAGCTAAGACACATTAAGCGTAATATTTACTTTTATACGTTCTAAACCTTATCGTAAGTCTTTTATGATTGGCGTGGTAAAAGCTACTGAAAGTTGACACTCTAAAAGTATCCTTATAAATCTTAATTTTTTCCTGTTTAAACTGAAGATCATGGTTTTCTAGTGCCTTAACTGTATAAACCAATGTGACAAATCTTCCAGACGACGCTCCAGCACTCTTGTTCTTCGCCCAAGACAAGGGAGTGAGGGTGATTAACGTCCGCAATACCTTCTACAGGGAAATAATAGAAGGCAACGATATGGTATGAATTTGTCGTTTCTGGCAGAAAAGTTTGTAAGTGTATTAGTGTTTATTTACAAATGTGTTTTGAACTAGTTTCCATATGTATACTGAACTTTATTCCCCAGATCATTGGTCTGGCACTCAACCCAATAGATGAAACTCTATTCTTTAGCGCCGGTGACGGAATCCATAAAGTGAGCATGAAAAGGGAAGAGGTCCCAAAACTTGTCATAAATAATGGTAAGTGCGGCTCCTGGGCTCTGGCTTGAGGGGAGGGGGGAAAGGTGTAGGCCTAGCAGGAAAGGGCACTTGCATTAAGTGTAATTGATAATTTGATTAACAATTTATAACCAAAGTTGCAGCTCTGACACTTTAATTGAATAATAACTACATAGCCGTTGAGGCTAAGAAAGAACATCAGAACTATCAAATTGTCGAATATTAAAATAGGTATAATAAACCTAGCAAAGTAATAACTTGAAAAAGCTGCAAATTTTAAATTGATTAGGCCGAAGTTTTTACACTAATTTGATGTGCATTGAAATGGAAACTGTCCATCTGTATACGTTTCAGGTATTGGCATTGGAGAAGGTTTAGCGGTGGACTGGTTGGGTGGGAACCTGTACCTCACAGATCCAAACAATGGTCAGATCCTGGCGTGTTCCCTGGACGGGGTCCTGTGCTACGTCGTGGTTGAGGACAGGAAACACCCCCGGGGGATACAGCTGGACATGAGGAATAGGTAAGGGGCTCACCAAACACACACCAAACCTACGACGGTGGTACAACGTTCGAACAAGTTTTAACGCCTCTTAACCAGTTATAACAACTAATATAGCAAGTTGTAACAATATTCTAATACGTCATGAACACGTAAAGCCAAGATGTAAAAACTTAATTACGTTGTTACAAGCGGAAAATAGACGGTTTGATTCCAGGGGGGGGGGGGGGGGAAACCTGCGATGATCTCTTGAGGCTCTCATTAACTTGGTTAAATGTGTGCTTGCTTTACAAATTTTCTAGTTTAGGGGGACGTGTTTACATGGCAATTATCCTAGATAAACGATGTCAAAGTAATGTCAAGTTTTTTTACAAAGTTTATTTTGTTTACATTCAGAGTTGGGGCGAGCTAAAAAGCTGAACGGAATTAGGTTAAATGTCTAACTAAATTTGACCGAACCTTGTGCCATAACAAGGCTTGGCTTGAAACTGTTTTCTATATATTTGCTCAATTCTAAAGTTTTAAACAAATCATATTCCATAAGTTAGATAACCTTTGGCCCTCCATTGTTGTATATGCCAATGCGTCACTGTAGTAAGATACTCTTCAATGGAACTAATGGATATTGGTTCCTGCAGGTACATGTATTGGTCGGACGTAGAAAGTTCTCTCATAGAGAAGGCTGGCATGGACGGGTCTAGGCAAACGGTGCTGGTCTCTAAGGGTATAACTTGGCCTAATGCTATAGCCCTGGACCAGCCTGCTGGACGCCTCTACTGGCTGGATGCCAGAGAGGACGCTGCCTACAGTATCAGGACTGACGGCACGGATAGAAAGGTTGGGATCTGTAGAAGGGGTAGTTTAGTTATGGGTCATTCTTAAAATCTTGGTGCCTAAGTGCATTACATTTGTTTTCCCCCTAGACATGTCGGGACATGTTTTAATACTAAGATGTCTTGGTCATACAAAAGTTGATTTGCAAACCGTAATAGAACATTAATGGATTCTGGCGTTTCAGCAATTGGTAGATGCTGCAGTGAACCATCCCTATGCCCTGGGCGTGTGGAACCAGTACCTCTACTGGACAGACTGGAACCACGACCACATCCGCTCTTGCTTGAAACGAAACGGGAAACACGTAGAGACGGTCCTCAAGGGAAGCACAGAGCACGACTATTTTGGTCTGGTAGTTTTCCATCCAGACATGCTGAACCAGGTGAGTTTTTCTGGCTAGTTTGGTGCTGGCCGGGATGTCTACTCTAGTTGAGGGTACCAAATTCTTGCCTAAACTTCCCAGTCCTCAACATTAAAACTTTTTGAAATTTAAAGCTTTAGTGTTTTGTTTTACATAAAAGGAATATTACTAAAGCTGTCTGAAGTACGCTGGCCAGTGATTAGCTTGGTGCACCAGTGGTAACTTGCTTGAATATCTTGGCAAGTAACTGTTTGAATCTTCAGTTCTTTACTACTGATTTAACAAATATTAATATTTTAAAACCATACCTAAATTAGTATTGGGAAAATAAAGTCGAAAAAGTGTTCCATTAGTCTGTTTTCATCTTGTATACTGCATGCATAGTTTTGATTTAGGGTCTGAAACAAAGCCTTTGTCAAAAGAACTGCCTTAAACCAAAGTTTCATAAGACAGGAATGTAGTTTAGGAAATTTGTATGCCGTCAATAGCATATTAACAATACATTTGCCGTCATATAACATAGCTTGAGATGTTTGACATTAAACCTTTTTTGTAGTTTACGTTCAGCCAGTTTCCATTTTTTATTGGTGTTGAAAAGGGGACAAAGAACACTGTAGCTATAAAATTTTAAATTGTCAGGGAACAAACCCGTGCAGAGACCATCCATGTAGCAGTCTGTGCCTCTTGTCCCCCACCTCTGCCAGCGAATACATCTGTGCCTGTCCTTCCTACACCATGAAGCTCGGATCAGACAAACGCACTTGTGTTGGTACGTCTTGAACCAGTACTACTCGACTCTTAACAACATAGCAAGTGGCTTAAGGGATTACTTTTTCACGTGAAACAATGGCGGTTTTAATAAATCTGGTTTTTAATGTTTGCATATTAAGCTGCATTTTTAATTCCTCTTATAGAAGAGGAAGATTTGACAGCGACTCTGGTGGCGACTGATGACAAGATTTATAAAATAAACCACCAAGTGTATGGTCGGAATACCCTTAGTCCCTGGAGGCATGACCTGAAGTTTCATACCATAGGAAGCTTGGACTATGAACCAACGCTCGGTGAGTGAACAAAGCTTGGCTCGACTAATTTTCCAAACCCTGTTTCTTAAGGCATTTTTTATCTGCTCAAAATTCCATAAATAAAAATTATTCTATTATATCTTCAAGTGACTTTCACTGACGTTGAATTTTTCTTGGAGCCTATTAATGCATTAAAAATACTAATGGCACATATGTAGTGTATACTACTGATATGGAACAGTAGTGCTTGTCCACAGTGAGTGTGGTGTAGTATACATGAATACCCCTTATAAGCTCTTAAGAACTTGCAAACGCAAGCTAACGAACTAACTTACATTCGTAAGTGATACTTCACTGACATTCCCAAGTGTTTAACAAGCCAAAAAAATGCAGTTTTAAAGTTATTTAATTAGCTATGTTGCTAGACATAGATAATGTCTGTTATGACCTTATTAACGGAGGTTTCTCCTGCAGGAATGGTGGTGGTGAGCGACTTGTACAAGGAGATGATCTACGGCATATCTGACGGAGTCACAGCCGTTCTAGTCAACAACAGCAAAGCAGTCGGCCTGGCCGTTGGTAAGACTCGACTGTGATGTAAATGTTTATTTCTGCACACAAGTCTTGTCTTTGTTGTCACAGACTTAGGAACTGGAGGTTTCAAGAACTTGGTTGCACGTTGACGCGCTTGCAAACAATAGTGTTTAAATTTGTACTAGATCAGTTTAGAATGTGAAGGTTAGAACTTCAGTTCTTTGATCCAGCCTCTCAACCGTGGTTACGTATTATGGGTGTTCAGACTTGTGATAGGCTATTAACAATTCTTAGGACTTAAGTTGGAGGCATCTAGTTTTACATTTAACTAAAGACGAAAAAGTAGATATTCGCACAAATGATCGTGAAATTAACTTCAATGTCTCGAAGTTTAAAGTGTGCCCAAGAATTGAAAAGTTATCAAAGGCTGGGAATATTTTTGACAATTGCTGGATAAATGGTTTTGTGCTTAATGTACAATCAAATTCAAAAGATTCGGTGGTGCGAGCAATATTTTGAAGACCAACAAACCTGTAATACTAGGCCTTCAAATTTTAAAATTAAACTACAAAACGTAGTTGAATGAGAATATAAATTGAAGGCATGCAGACGAATCGAACCTGCTGTAATGAACCACATACGCTACTTGAAATGCGACTTTGGCTTCAAACCCCTAAGGGTTTTAAGGCGTAGAGCGGATACCAAATACTTTTTATGCAGGCCCACATACACTGGTGAATCACTGACGGTATAACTTCCTTTTGAACTTGGTTGAATGTTTATCAAATTCCCCAAAGAGCCAGTGAAGAGGCAATCGTCTCGTGACATTCAAACTGTTAAAATGGTATTAGGGAATTTAAAATTTGATAGTGGAGAAAAACCTACATACTGGTTTATTAAATGAACGTTACTAATTATATAAGTCTGAAAATTAGGGCAGCGTCCCCATGTGAGGGTATAAGTAAAGATGCTCTTACTTTAGTGCATGGAATAGTAATAAACAATAAGCTAGTTGATAAACTATACACTGGAAGGGTTAAAATTCCCTTTTTTTTAATTAGTAAGTGCTAAAATGCTGTGCATATTAATGTAAGCAGTTTTCTAGGTGTATCCTGTTTCAACACATACGATGAAGCAGGCTCTTTAGGTGTGCCGATTGTCAGCAGGAATGGACTAAAACTCCAACTTTCGAAGAAGTTTAAACTTGACTTCCTACAGATTGGCTGCGTGGGAACCTGTACTGGTTGAACGGGAAGATGGGCGTAGAGATGGGGAGGCTGAGACAAAGGTCACTCGAGCACCGAACATTACTGGTCTCAAAGTTATCCTTCCCCTCAGATATTGCTGTGGCACCTGTGCTTGGGTGAGTCTTCCCTCTACATGAGGAATATATTGGTTACTGTAACATCATTATTTACTTAGCGAAACTAGAGGGTTCAGTTCCTGAACCGATTGTGCTTCGGTAGGCCTTTACACCACCGCCCACGGGATGGGTATGGGGTGCATAATACAGTATTTCAATTCAATTTCTTTAACATCTTATTTTGTTTGTGGGTTTTGAAGATTTATTACATATGGAAGGTATTACATACGGAAAGCACTGGCGGATGACTAATGTTGTTTCATATTTTCTAGGTATATCTTCATTTCTGGCAGCACCTATGATAAATATATAATGCGTTGCGGCTTGGATGGTTCGAATTGCAATAAGATTATTGCAACGGATTTGAACACTCCCGTGTCTTTAGCCTTCGACAGAGACCCAATGATCGGTGAGTTTGTCTGTAAATGAAGATATTGGAAGACTAAAGTGTTGGCTAAATATACTCGGTGATCGCCTAAAAACTGAATATTTTCTCTTTGGTGGTCCAGAGCGGCTGTATTGGTGCGACTATGGTCGGGGAACTGTGGAGAGCGTTGAAGCCGATGGCTCTAAACGCATCTTGGTGGCGCCTTCAATGAATCCAGACTTCGGGAGCCCCGTCGACATCATAGCCACAAGCTTAAACTTGATGTGGTCCGTTGAAAAATCGGTCGTTATTTTTTCCGCTGCTAAAGTTAATGCAGAAAACAAGAAGTTTGTATCACTTGGTATGTGCTTCAGAACCCGTGGTGTTGAGGGGGGAGGAGAGTGTTGGATTTTAAGATGGAGGGGGGGGGAGGCTGGCGGTTGAGCAGAGTTACTTATAAATCTCTTATACGAGTAAAGAATGCTGGGAAGTGCGCTAAAACAACTTTGAGTCTTCCCCAGTATAGATTCAAGAAATGTGGGGATAATTTATCACAAGTTAAACTAGGTATCTAGTAGTTTCTACAACCATTTAGGATTTTCTAAACTACGTTGTAGGTCATTGATTAACACAGACTATATGTACACGGTTGTTCTAGACCTGGACCAAGCCCCCGCAAGAGGATTGAGGATGACGGAGATCGGGTGGAAGCCGCAGGCATCCATCAACGCAGAGAGTTATGGCTGTCGCCACAACAACGGAAACTGCACTCATCTGTGTGCCGGCAACGAAGCCGTTGACAAGGTAAACAGACTTAAAGCATAGCATAGTTGTTCCTATCCTGGAAGGGGTGTTTAGAAATTAAGTTTATATACTTTAACTAGTCTGATTTTTGGTTGCGTCAGTAACTTGGTTAAAATAATAGGTTTTCTAGTTTCTAATAACTTTAGTTAGCTATTTACACTTAAGTTCATTTAACTAGTAAATATTAACACGTAAACTCGAGCAGTTTGGTTTTAATAGTTGACTAAAGTATACAATAAGTGGTAATAACTTGGCGACTGTTACAGGTGTGCTTGTGTGAGTCTGGCCACGACTTGGCAAGCGACAAAGTAACCTGCAACCCACTCAACTGTTCCGGCACACTCTACCTCTGCCCCGGCACTAAACAATGCATCGCCTCCTCCTGGAGGCAAGTTATCCTAGTTTTCAATGAGCCTCGATTTGCCGTAAATGACCAAACTTACAGTAATGAGATCTAAATTGCTCCTTTTAAAAGCTGCTCCGCCCTCTCGCCTTTCTATACAGATAGATGCAGTACTGTTGCAAATTACCTCCAATTGGAGGAAGTTTGATCCTGAATGAGGGGGGGGGGTACAATATAGATTTTAAAGGCTCTTGTTCTCTTCCCCCCCCCCCCCCACCACCACCACCAGTATTTTGCTAGTGGTACTTATAAAAGTACCACTTTTATAAATACCACTTGTGCTACTTTATATCGTCTGGATTTAAGTGAAGCCTTTACTAGTAAAAATAATTCAAACTTCTGTTAGTGACTTAAGCCTACTCAGTGGCTCATAACTCCAGATTTTTTTACAGTAGATAATAATGTAAGTTATCTCTATTTTGTAATTGATTTTACCCAATTTTGTTAAATGTCGGGTTATGTTTATGGATAATTGACTCTATGAAAAATTGTCGCAATAAGAATACTTAACTCGACAATTTATAAATCTCTTAATTTTAAGTTTAATGATTAAAACTTATCTAATAAGAACTAATAAAAAGAAAAGATTTGTTTAAAAAGTTGTAGCGTCTGAAGGCCTTTGGTCTTAAATTCTTAGACCAAGTTACCTTCAATGCTAGACTTGTCTGAAGTGACACTTGATCGCCCATGACAGGTGTGACGGGACACGCGATTGCGTCGACGGGGCGGATGAGAAAGGCTGCGACAAGGAAGAGCAGTGCGAAGCTGGGAAATTCAGATGTTCTTCAGGGGCTTGTATAGACGAGTCGTGGACGTGTGATGGAGTGTCAGATTGTCCGAATGGCAACGATGAGAGTCTGGCAAAGTGCAGCAACAAGACTTGTAGTGAAAGTAAGGCTCCTGGTGCTACTATGATACCTGGTACTGTTGTAGGGAGTGGCTGGAGAAATCTGCGCTATATTTGTAAAATTCTCTCCCGGAAGCCTTTCCCAGCTTGGTATTTTTTTCTCTTGGAGGGGGAGGGGCTACTTTGTTACTAAGTTCATGGAATTTGCATAACTATCTCGGTCACTACTCTATGGGAGGGGGGGAGGGGAAGAAAAGTACCAATAAATTGTGTATATCCAACAAAGATAAAGGCTAAAATATTTAAATTTAATCTTTAATGCATCACATTCACAAAATTGGCAAGTTGTTAAATTACTTTTCTTAACTTTAGTTAAATCTACCAAATAAGCTAACGAAGAGTTAATTGACAGTCTTAATCATCGTGTCTACTAATATTTAATTTTGGGTCAACTTGGCGAAAAAATTGTACGCGAGTCCCCTCCTATCAGATGTGTTAATAACCCTTTTTGACTCTTCAGATCAGTTTCGGTGCAGCTCGGGTCAATGCATTCCCCTCAGTTGGGTGTGTGACCACAGAGAGGAGTGTAGGGACGGCTCCGACGAAAGAAACTGCCCCACGTCCTGTTCAGACCACCAGTTTACCTGCAGAACCGGTCAGTACTAAGTCTTTCTCTCTCTCTCTCGCTCTCCCCCCTCTGTCTGTCGCCACCTCGCCTACCTTCGTCTCACTCCTGCCTCTCACTCCTGCCTGCATGTGTCTCACTGTCTCGTGTGGTACAATTATGTCGTCTTCCTTTTGATGCCAAAGTTAAGAATATTTGATAAATGACTATCACACAATCCCTTCATGAATAGCCCCTCGCTAGGGGGAGCGGGCGACGGGAAGAGAATGGCATGTAAATTTTCATTCGTTGCAGGAAACTGTATTCCGTTTAACTGGCGCTGCGACAAAGATACGGACTGTAATGATGGCAGCGACGAGGAGGGATGCCCTGGTAAGTGAAGTCTGGCTAAACTTTTCACCGGCAGTCTATTACCAACTTGTCTAAATTAAATTTAAACACCACCAAATATTACTCTAAATCTAGACAAAACTAGGTTTTCTGTGCAGTTTAAAGAGGTACAAAAGATGCTAGTGACGAAAGTTTTGTTTTTAGATTTGTTTTATGTAAACGCTCTTAATATGTGCAGAAACTTGCGGAACCTGGGAGTTCCAATGCGACAACAAGAGATGTGTCGCGCTCTCCACGACCTGCGACGGAGATGACGACTGCGGTGACGGTTCTGACGAACGCTTGCACAGATGTTCCACCCTCCGCTCCACAGCTGAACCAGTCGCGGAACCATGTCCCTCCAACATGATAGCGTGTTTGCCGAACTACGCCGACAAAGAGATAGTGTGTATATTCCACTCGGACGAGTAAGTTGACGGGACAAACTGGATTGTATCAACCTGTCAATGCTGCTAGTAGTCTTTAGTTAATGTGTTCACTTCGAAATATATTTTGATCTCTGTACAGGTGTAATGGCAAGGAAGATTGCCCACTCGGGGAAGACGAAATTTGTTGGGAGTGCCACGAGACAGAATTTCACTGTCACTCGCATCGCTGCATACCGAAAGGGCAAGTTTTTATGAATTACGTTAAACTATACTAAGAGGGTTGTGGTAAGTAACGGCGTTGCTGGCACGGAACTAAAGATTCTTTCCGAAGGTTCCAGGGAAGGAGGCGGCCGGGGAATATTGTTTTTAGTCAAAGCAAGAAACTAATGTTAATGATTTGGGTTGATATCTAGCAGTTTGCCAGAATGGAACAGTTGCCGGAGGAAAGCTTAGATTAATTGTAGTTAAAATTGAGGGGAAGAATTAGCCCAGGGTATAAAAATGGGATTATCTTTGTACAGTTATGGGCGACTCCTGCCCGTGCCACTTTTTCGGTGGCTTGATCGATTGACAGATCGATCGATTGATCTTTGTACAGGTTCCTGTGTGACGGTGAAGACGACTGTGGTGACGGCAGTGACGAAGGTCCCGATGCTAACTGCACGGTCCTCAGGAACCAGTTTATTACCCAGGCCCCCATAACCACCATCGAATTGTATAGCATTGAAGGTAAATGTACTTAAATATCTATTAAACTGCGACCGGATAGAGCTGCCTATTCCTAATTGCTTCCTATATGCCTGGCAGCAATAAATCTTACATTCCTTTAGATTAACATCCAGATTTATATTCCTTAAAATTCTTTAAATGTCACTAGATGAAATAAATTGACTAAATTTAGTTCTTCCTTGCCTGAAATTTTATAGTTGCTTCAGCAGACTTGCCAGAAAACATCGTCTGCTCAGGAATGTTCCAGTGTCTGAACGGTGACTGTGTACCCAAGGAGAAGCTCTGTAATAACGTCAGCGACTGTTTTGACAGTTCTGACGAGGGAGTCTTCTGTGGCAAGTACAGTGACGTTTTGTCTGTAGACCTTGAGAAACGGGGCTCCTTCGTATAAGATTTATTTTACTGTATGCAAAATTCTAAACTAGGTTACATTTCATTAAAGACTTGGCTACCTTGAGGTGCTTAGCGTCCTCGCGGCCCGGTCGTCGACCAGGCCTGATTGAAATAGCTAGATGTAACACTTGAGTTTTAATCTTAAATACCCCATTGTTCCAAACCGTGCTAGTTATAGAAAGTTTCCGGCAGATAATCACTGTGCCAACAACGGCGGGTGCCAACACGTATGCCATCCCAGCCCTACAGGCAGCTACTGCTCGTGCCACCTCGGCTCCCACCTGGGCAAGAACGGAAAAGAGTGTCTGGTGAGTTATATGGTTCTGGTTCAACATTAGCGGCCCCCCTAGACGGTGAGTTTGGAGGCAGCGTTCGAAGGTTTTAAAAGTATATTATGGCTGAAAGAATATTAATGAAGGGATTGATAGTGTATTAAAGCTTGGCTTAGGTTTTTTTGTGGGGGCTTTACTCTGAAATGCGATAACAATGTCATTATCAGACTATATATCTAATATAATTTTTAAAGGTTCACCAGATTTAAATGGGGTAATAGGGCAAATTTCAAAGTTTCAAATAAAATGCAAAGCAAGCTGCAACTCGAATGTAGATCTTCAGAGACTAAAGATTGAAAAAGTTTCACATAAGGCACTAAATTAAAACTACATATAGCTATATGCGCAATGAAGAGACTGGCTTCAAAATTCTAAAAACAATATTAGAAATTTAAGATGGTTAAATGGCGAGTGATAAAGGTACAAAGATTCTAATGAACCATTTACTTAACTCTTCAGGACGATGCAGTGTGTGAAGAGGACTATTGCAGTCATGTGTGTGTGAAATTGAGACGGCAAACCTTCTGCAGCTGTGCTCCCGGCTACAACCTCCAGGCAGATAACAGGACCTGCAAGCCAAACAGTAAGGCGGTGATTTTTTTTTTTGTAAGGCTTTCTTGATTCAGACGAAGACTTGCAGGGGAAGGGGGGGGGGGAGGAATGATTAAGAAAATGCATTCCTGCTGGAAGATTGTATTTATTAATCACTTTATGGGTCCATAAATTTTAAAATAAAGTCCCATTTTCACTAAACGGGTAATGTAAAAAGAATTCCTACTTAGGATATTAACCCCCCCCCCTAAAAAAAAAAACATGAATTAAATAAAATTGACCAATAGAAGCCTGGATAGTCGCTCATAAAGCAACCTGTCAATTTTAGCTTAATCACCAAAAGACAATTTTTTTGAATGCAAGAGTGTACATTAATCATATGCAGGACCTATAGCACACTAGTTGTATGTCTCAGGGCACTTGGCCATCCTCTTGCAGACGGGGAGGAGTTCGTGGTGCTGGCCCGGCCCGGCGGGTTAGTGATGGTCGGTCACAACTTTCACATTAAAGGAAAGGCTGACACTTCCCTCAATCTGGCAATCGACACTTTTGTTGTCGATCCTGTTAACGACATGATTATCTATACGGACAGTAAGTGACTTCTACAGATCTGTGAGCAGGTAGTTTTGTATTTTCTAGACTCCTTGATATTTGCATTTTAGCAAACATTTTTTGAATGCAACTTTACACTATTAAAGCTAAAATAATGACTTCAAACTAAAAAATTTTAAGTTTAAAAAAAATGCTTGTCTTTGAAAGCGGTCTCTAATCTTCCAGAGAGAAGAGGCGTAATAGCCCTAGAGCCCTTTATGTTGGGTAAAGCAGCTAGCAACATGAAAAGCAGAATTTTGCTGGACAAAAGGAGCAATCCTAAAGGGTTGTCTTACGACCCAATCGCTAAGAATATTTATTTCTCGGAATACTTCAGCGGCCAGTTGGCATCTTGGGAGGGGAGTAAGATAGTAGAGAGAAGCACTAAAAGTAGTCTGAAGGTTAAGGGACATTCGATGATCATGGTAAGTTTTTCAGTAATGGTTCAGTGCCCTAAGTTTGAAGTAGTATGTAATTAATAAATACTAGTGTAAATACTTCATCCTTGATGATATTTAGCGCCCTCTGATTATTTTGCACATTTGATGGTGCTACATAACCTTCCCGGTTTGGTGCCTTCTTCTGATAAGTACTTTGTTTTCAAATAAAATCCTTTATTTAGGAAAGGTACATAAGAGATTTTAAAAAGTGATAGATTTATAGATAGGGCTAGTACATACAATGCCTAAAGCCACTATTACGCAAAGCGTTTCGGGCATTGTCGAATTTAATTATTTCTTTCCTACGTGTTGCTGCAACAGATGTGCGACATAAGTAGCAAGTGCAGCATAGTGACCAACGCTCCAGGCCAGACCATACCCTCCACCAGCCTGGCAGTCCGCAGCAGACTATTGTTTTCCTGCCGCAACTCCATCGATCCAAAGGATGAAAAGGCTCAGATTGTGTCGACCTTCGTCGATGGCTCCGGCATGAGGGTGGTCAGGGAACACAAGGTACGACTTGTGTTAATAATTTCCTTAATAGTGGGTGGAGATTAAGGTAAAGTAATCTTGTGGCTCAAATAGGGGAGCGTAAATAGTTAAGTTTAGTTTTAAGAAATCACTTTCTAAAACAGTTTCGTGAGTTTAAAGATTACTTGCTTCGGGGATTAGGGGATTTTATAATTAAAAGTTCATTACACTACACAGAAATTAGTCGTGTTTCAATGAGAAAATCATAGTCGTGATGAGGGTTATTAGTAGTATTCAGGTTGAAGGGTGACTGGTTCGTGGCGGACGGTTCTGTGGCTAACATGGCTGACTGTCCGGCAGGTGGTACGCTGTGGGTCTGTGGCAGTGGACGAGATAAAGACCAGAGTGTATTGGACAGACTTGGCCCTCAGCACTGTGGAATCCGTCGCCTGGGACGGCAGCAGACATCGCCTCGTCCAGAAAGACAGGGTAATTATTGCAATAGAAAAGATTTCTTTTTGAACATAGAATGCTGGGAGGAAGGAACACTTTTTTTTTTAAACTAAATTTCTTATTAAAAGGTGTACTCTCCGGTTGGTCTGACTTTGATGGGTGACACGGTCATATGGATCAACTCTAAGCGCCGTAACCTCGTCAGGTGCTCAAAGTACGACGTCTCAGACTGTGAAATAAAGGAGCTGACCTCTGATGGTTCAGGAGTCTTTAGCGTCTTGCCGCTTGTGGGTGCTGGTAAGTGGAGAAGACTTTGTTTATCTTGGTTCAGGGTCAACTTCTTGAAGTTCATACCCCAATAATCTACGTAATTACAGTGTGGTTGTGTGAAAGTTTGTTGATAGTATAAAAGTGCCTTTTGAATATATTGAAAGCATAAACACTAACTTTCAGGTCCTAACCAGTGTAAGTCTTCGTCGTGTAAACACCTGTGCACGGCTTATAACGACACGGCGAAGTGCGTGTGTCCACTCGGCTTCAAGGGAGATCCTGGCAATCCAGGATCATGTGTAGAGGTAAGACTTGGTACAGTTGATAGACTTGGTATTCTTAATTCATTGTTTCCTTTCGTACGTGCAAAGCAAAACCCATACGGGGTTAATCTCTGGTGTGGATCTCATATTTACTAATCTACACATTTCTTGCAGATAGATGTGTCTGAAGTATCTTTGTTCAGATTGAACATAATTATCGAAATGTTTAAATTTCAGTTAATGGCTTGTAAGGACCACCCGTGTTACGGTGAGCAAGTGTGCGAGGCGCACACGGACAAGGACTTCGTCTGCAGGTGAGTGTTCTGCCCTTCACAACTCCGAACACTATTAAAAAAAAAACTTATAATTTAGTTTCCTGCTCTATTCCTTCAGCAGTGTTCGTGGTCATGTCATTCGTATAGACTTGGTATGGGTAACTAGAAGTAAAGTTTTGTACCTTGGATTAAATAAGTTCTCTAATGGTCTGGCAAAATTGGGGAGGGGGGGGGGGAGGCCATTTTGATTTGGGTATCAAAAGTCAAATTTAAAATTTTCGTACCCCCCCCCCACCCACCCCAACTTTTTCACCTTTTTTTTTTCCCCCTTAAGGTGGTAAAGTGCTAAACCACTTTATTCTGCAGGTGTGATAGCGACCATCGCGGTCTGCGGTGTGAAGTGCGAGTCTCCTCCTTGGCGTCCTCGTCCTCCTCCTCCACCTACATCATAGCCATCTTCTTGGTGCTGCTCGCCTTGGTTGCTGTTGGCGGCGCATGTTACTGGTACAAGAAAAGACCATTTACAATCTGGAAAGGTGGAAGGCGAGTCTTGGAAAAAATTTGGTTTTGATTTTCAGATTTAGATTTTCTAATTTTAGAAATGGGTTTTAGATTTGAATTTGGGTACGGTGTCTGCATCTGGATTTTTGGGTGAATCTTATAGTTTTGTTGCAATATTGATTCTAACTCTTTCGTGGGTCCATCCGTGGTTTCCTAATGTTGCCTCTTCGGTTTCAGTTCCAACCAGAGTTTCCGGTTCGTGAACCCGGCCTTCGGTGTGATAAGTGACCAGGCAATTCTTAACGGGAGTCCGGCCCCTAGTACAAACCCCTCCATGAGTGGCAACCCCCCACCATACAACCTCACCAACCCCCACCACCCTAACATTACCTCCAGCTTCGAGAACCCCTTCTTTAAAACTGATGATAGTCAAGTAAGTTCAACTTTCACAGCTTTTGAAGGCTTATTTTGGCAAGATGACATGCTCTAGTTTGCCCATAATGCCTGGGGAGGAAATGAAGGTTATGATTGTCCAATATTATGTCTCACGGCAGATTAATACGAGCTTGGACTCTGCGGTAGCCAGCGCGACAGACTCTACCTCTATACACGTCCCCATCCACAAAGTGGACCTCACTTCTCCTATATCTCCGTGAGTTTGCAGTAGGAAACAAAGGGGAAAGGGTGGAGATATAATAGCCATCTCTTGTGTAGTTTAACACTCTACCCCCTAACCCGTTTAATACTAACATGTTAACTTCTCTCCGGCAGTGACGGGAAGAAGCAGACATCACCTCGTACGATGACAGAGTTCGTGTTCTCGCCCTACAACCCAGTTGTGTAAAGTTCTTCAGCCCTCGCTACACTCCAGGCGAACGGCGGTTTACTCTACTAAATGTAAATAAAAATAAATGGCACTGTAAACCCGGGTTAACAGCGACTATGTACAACCACTCTTCACGTGGCAGGCGTGTGCTGAAGGTGACTGTATACCATGTAACATTGGGTTGAAGCTAACCAGCCCTGCCTCTGTGGGTAGGAGAAAATACCGGAATAGATTTAAATTGTAAAATGTGATAAATAGTCGGTAGTCTTAAATTTTTTATAAGAAGTGTTTAATAAAAGTTCTAAAATTGTGATTTCTTTAAAACCCCTTTTTAAAAATTATAAAGTTGAGCCAATTCGATGTTAGAGACAGAGTACTGGGGGGCGAACCTCGCTAAAGTTTGCAGGGTGACTGGTCTCGGGTGGTGGCCATTAGTAGGTCGAGGTAAAGCTCCTCCTTTCCAGCTCTCCTCCACCCTCTGGCCCATTGCTTGAAGTCTGAGAGCTGATCTCTGATCTCGCAGCTCCATACTCACTAAGGTTACAGGGATGCAATAAATTTATAAACTCGACCGGATCTACCAGTCACCCCCATCACGCTGGCACGTGTCGACCAGTACTACACAATGAACCAGGGGAAGGGGGCAGAAGAATCGGTGTCGGAAGGTAATTCTTACCAGTTAGGGAAAGTCTCTAACGGAAAATTGGTCCGCAAGAGACCTCTGTTTTAAACTACTGGCACCATTTCTTACTTGAGTAAAGTCTTGTTTGAGGTAAGTACTAGAAATAATTTAGACGGATGGTAACCGGTGGCAAGTCCTAAAATAATCGTGTGGGGGGGAGTGGGGAGGGATCGGAACGTGATCATGGCTACCCACCTCCCCTCCCCCAAAGTTTAGTGAGGAAAGATAAAGATTCTTGCCTTCAAAAAGTCTATACGAATTCCTTAGTCTGTTTCCATTTAACACAAACTATGATTGCCGAAGATCTGGGGATAGATGGCGTTTAGTGCCAGATGCTTCAGTAAGTAGTTGACTGTAAAAAAAATCGCGAGGGGGAACTATTTTGTCCAATTTTAAGACACTCGAGTACATGTTGACCAGACCACACACTAGAAGGTGAAGGGACGACGACGTTTCGGTCCGTCCTGGACCATTCTCAAGTAGATTGAGATTTGAGAATCTCGCAATCGACTTGAGAATGGTCCAGGACGGACCGAAACGTCGTCCCTTCACCTTCTAGTGTGTGGTCTGGTTAACATACTTTAGCCACGTTATTGTGACTAATCGCCTGCACACTTAAAGTACTTATTGAAAATGTTTTAAGACTTTCAAATACAAAATTGAGAGGGGGTGCAAGTATCCATTTATTAAACAAAATTAATATAGTGCTTATATTTACTTGAATATATATTAAAGTATAATACTTGTTATACTTGGCTCCCTTAATAGAGCTAACAATTGCCTGGCTCGCCACGCCACCAAGTTTGACAGGTCCCTAGACCTCGGTCAAAGCTGTTCATTAAACATTAGTGCTTGTATTGGAGAAATATATCTACCAAAATTGCTTGACGAATTTTTAATCTGCACTACAGCATACAGCAAGATCATTCCTTGCTTTGGTTCATGGCCGGCGCCCCAAAGTGGCGCGCACAGAACGGGTAAGGAAGCGTTTAAGAAGCTTCTGCGAAAGAAATGTTCATTTAGGAGCGGTGGTGGTCTCGCCCAAGGGGGGTTTTGTCCTCGCAGAACATGCATTTACTTCTAAAAAATATACATAGCCTTCCCGGTTTGGTGCCTTCTTTTGATAATTACTTACTTACTTACTTACTTCTAAATAAATAATTTAGGTTCCTGAAGAGTGGAAAGATGATGAAACTGGACGTTATAGTCTCTAATCCTTTGGTTAGAAGAGTCCAGCAGCCAGGTACAAGGACGGTAAACAGGAGTGTGGGAGGGATCTTCCCCCTACCGATACCAGTCATGTTTTTAACAGTCGGGCGGTAATCAACCAGCAAGATCTCATACTACGTATAACCGGTAAAGGCATGAAAGAGGTATGTCACGGGTACAGAGGCAAAAAATGAGTACAAAATAATTGGGCGAACAGTAATTTTAGAATTGCGGGGAAAGAAAAATAAAACTTGCTCCACCGTAGTCAGTGATAAGTAAGCATTGATGGGTACATAAAGCGGCCTAAATGTGCTCTCCTTTTTAGGTGTGGGGCGGGGCACTAAATCTTTCTTATAGGTTAGTACGGGTATACACGAAATAATAAGAACCCGTACCTAGTCAAAAATGAAATACTCATTCCAACCCCCTGGAATCCAAATTATGTTAGACGATTACAATGCAATGAAAAGTTATGAACTTTAGTATTAGTCAGAGATTAACTTTAAAAATTATAAAGTCTATTGCCGGCAAAACCGTAGTTTAAACTTATGACCACGACCACTCTTAAATCAACAATTTAATACAGACGTGCTGGAAAGTCGTTCCCGGTCAGCGTTCCTGACTGCTTTTAACATTTCCTTCTCCAACTGCATCTCTCCTCGCCTCTTGGGCCACCACAACATCCCTCTTCTACGTCAGACCTCTGACGTGGGGCGTCGTGTCGACGTATACGGCGACGAGGCTGTCAGTTAGTGGTGCCCCTGTCCGTCACCTTCGGCCTGTCAGAGGTCATGGGGATGGTCCCTATCCCTAGACTCCTTACAAGACGAAGGGGGAATATAGTGGTGGTGATAGTTCTGGGGGCGAGGATGATGGTGCCTGGAGTGATGACGGCGGGGGTGGTGGTGGTGGTGGTGATGAAGGGAACGATGGTTGGATTGTGGCACCTATACTCATTCTGTGAGCGGTAGGCTCTAAGGGAGTTCATTCTGGGTATTTGGGTCACCTGCAATTGTTGAAATACAATCTTTGCTCACAAACTTGTACCTGATAATTATAAATGTTCTCAGTCACAACTCACAAACTCCTTCAGCTGCAAGATTGGCACAATGAATCGATTGTCATAATATATAAGAGGAGAGGGGGGGGGGGTTCCACCCACTTACAACAGTCCAACTTACGACGATTTGTACTCACGCCGAGCGCCAACAGATGGCGCTGTGGTGGTGACAGCTGTGTTGTGGGGGTCCCACACTTCCCCACTTGGCTGTTTCACGTTCCAACGCGGTCGTGGCGCATGTGTTATTCGGGATAAAATTTCCCTGTTTTAGAGTGAAAACAATCATTATTGATAACTGGTAGTGATGAACCAAGGCCCAGCCATAACATTGGAAGTTATTAGTGAACGTAATGAAACTATCAGAAAGGAGAAAGACCAGGACAGAACAAGTGAACGATGGAAAGATTAGCTGGGCAGCAGAACTGCAGAATCTGTGGTAAAGGTGATGACCACTACTTGAGAGATTGTGCCCACTTAATATACATTAGAAAATATGAGGAGAGAGTGAGGATGTGTTTGTGGCAAGTTGTGACCGATTCAACAGATTTAAGTTCAGTGATAACTTTCGCAACATTAAAGAAACGAACCTTTCGAGTGCTGATAAAACCAGCAGCCGAGACTTTCTTTTAGAAATTGACCAAAATAAAGACGAAAAATAAAGTGCTCAAAACAATAGTTTAAGTTGGTGAAACTAGACTGTTTTGGAAAAAAAAATCACGGCCAAGCATGCATATGAAGCTATGAATAATAAGCTTGGTTGTAAAACAGCCAACAACCACTTATCAAATCCAGCAAAGACGTCAACTCCAGCGCTTAAGGTAAATGGAAACAAACTTTGTTTATTATTTCTTCTTGCTTAGTTTGTTTTGTTAAATGTGCTGATAATTGATGGTTCGGGAAGTTACCTCCTCGTTTACAACTCTGTGCTTGCGGAAACTCGTGTCCCGAGTTCCAGCCAATCGACTTAAGACACAAAATTATGCACAGATTCTTGCCCTAAGGAGGAGACGATTGATTGATTTATGAAAATTAGGCCACCCAAAAGGTGGCACGGGCATGAATAGCCCGTAAGTGGTGGCCCTTTTGAGCCATTACCAGTATCAAGAGCAGATACTTGAGATCTGTGGAGGTGTGACTGCACCCTACTTGACAGGAGATGTCTCCCGTGAGGAGGAGACACAATGTTTGCGTATATATAGGGAGGGAGAGGATGGGGAATAGGCAGGTAGGTAGGTAGATAATATCGTATCGGGCACTAAAATTCTTGGTAAACAAATTGACTCCAGTTTACTAAATATTGTCAACAAAAGGGGTGTTTACGAGAGGAAAGTGCTAAGCCCGGATGACTATATGGATGTCGACAAGTAAGTTTAACCATATTTCGGCGTAATTGATTGTTACAGTCACGCTGTAAATCTGGAATGTGTTTTTGTACGTCATAAATTGTTTGTACGATTTTGAAATCTTCGAGTCAGCAATGATTGCCTCTGAGACTAATTTCCGTATTTCTTGAGGTCGGTAGAAAGCTGATGAAGACATCAGTTTGTATTCACCAATTTTCAGTACAGCTGTGCATGAATTCCTGAAGAGGATCACAGTACAGCGCCTGTAGTAGGCGGTTCCTTTGTTTTTTATTCACAATGAAGTTTAGCTTCACCTAATAACCAGTTCTTTTATATATAATATTATTTTTTATATAATTTGTCATCGTCACAGTTACATTGTTTTGTAAATTTTTAATAATTGACCTTCGTGAATTGTATAATATTTTAAGTTCATAGATACATACATGTTAGTATGTTGTTGATAAACAGATAATATATATGTTTTGGCACTGTAAGAACAGCATTGTTTCCTGAAACCTAAAGTGCCTATGGGTGAATGAGAGGAGAGGAAGAGGGTAGAGTGGAGAGAAAGAGGACGGGGAAAGAGATAAGGGAAGATGAAGAGGGGGGAGTGTTGAACCTAGCAGCATCAAGTGACGATGGTAGTCACTAAGGCACTGGAGAAGAAACTTGGAATTCTCAAGAGATAGAGTGAGTCTTCAGACCCACAGAGGCACGTCTGGTATTGTGAGGTAAAGACAATAGTGTGATTAGATCATCTTCCGAGCAGTCATGAGACTTGACATTTAGGTGCTGACTCGGAGCTCTGTTTCCTCTGACGGGACTGTGAGAGATGAAAACAGAAAGTGGTTAAAGGGAGCGAAGGAAGAAGGAAGAGGTAGGAGGAAAGAACGGGAAAAAAAAAGAGAGTGATAGGGAGTTTATTTCCTTCTTATAAGTGCTTACCTATCGGTGATTATGGGGTAATGAGATCTAGCTCTATAGCTCCGCCTCCATGATATTTTTAACCTGGT